GACAACTCCTTAGCAGGGTCTGCTGCGACAGGACAAGGAAACTGGTTTCAAACTGAAAGAGGGGAGGTTTAGATTGGAACAAGGATTTCTGTTTGTTTTTATTTACAATAAGGGTGGTAAGGCACTGGACCAGGTTCCACCCGAGAGGTGGTGGAAGCCTCATTCCTTGAGACACTGAAGGTCAGGCTGGACCAGACTCTGAGCAACCTGACCTAGCTGCAGATGTCCCTTTTCATTGCAGGGGAGTTGGAATAGACGACCTGTAAAGGTCCATTTCAACAGAAATGATTCTTTGATTCTAAGCAAACATAGGAATGTATGTGGAAACAGTGAAATGCTACCTTTGACACTTTGTCATAATGCCAACACTGAAATCACATGAAATAACATCCTACTTCTTTGTGAAGGATCTCTGTAATAACAAGGAAGAAACAAGCATTCTCGTCCCTGAAGCTGTCATTTCTGGCTACTTCAGTCGTAAGTTGGAAGTATTTTCACGTCACAACAAACAACCTCAAGTGGCACTGAATAAGAGCACATGTTGTTCATGTCTTACCTCTGGAAGCTCCTTTTGGCCACAATTTCTGCATGACTGTCATTCAGAATGTCTCCTAATGCAAGAACCAAATGAGAATACACATTATTAATGAAGAGGGGAAAGGTTCAGCAGATTTGCTAGCATTTGAAGGGCTTAACATTGGTATTAGTTTATTCCAATCTGTTTTAAACATCCAATCAACTACAAAAAGAGGTAAAAATTCCCTTTCAGTCTGTAGCAAGTCAGAGAGCCATAAAAATCAAATTTTAAATCCTGTTATCTGAAATTCTTTGAGTTAAATAAACTGTCTCCTTCAAAACCTTACTGATGTTTGCTGTTAATAGTAAATCACGCAGCATACGCCTAACATCCAGTAAGTTTCAAGCATTTAGTCTTTTATGAAATCTTTTTCAGTTAATCTTTTGGTACAAGTTCCTTGTTGCAATATGCCCTCTGATCTATACTGAATTTCTTTGTAACTAATTCTGATATATATCATATTTCCATAGTGTACATTGAAACATCCTGGAATATCTGCCTATTGCTGTATCTGAAGGAACAGGAGCTGTAAATCAGCTGTTATTTCAGGAATAAAACATCATGTGATAGAAGACCTCATTAAACAACAATGCAGAACTTCTGAAGGCTTCAAAAAGTTTTTCTGTGATCACAATCTTTCCACGGTCCTCCTCTAAATTCCTTACCAGTTCAACAAGAGCTCTATAAGAGATGATTAAAACAGCACTCTGTATTTGAGAAAAGATGGCGATACAAATAAATGCACCTTTTTACCCACAGATCCTACAACTGAAGAAACTTCTTCAACTTCCTGCTGATGTAATATTCCAGCTGCGTATCGCAGAATGATTTGGGTTGGAAGAGACCTTAAAGATCATCTAATTCCAGCCTCTACTAGAATGGTGAGCAATGCTAACCTCTGCAAATCCATGCAGTATTTTAGCACTGTGGGTGATAGAACAGGTTAAGATTTTCTGCTTTTGGCAGTAGGGAATGCTACTAATTCCTTACAAATATTATGTTATTATTTTTACTCACCGATTCTTATTAATTTAAATTCCTATAGCATGCACAACATATCCCACAAGCTATTATCCTCTTTCTAATCCAGATTAGGGAAAGGATCTAGTCCAGAACATTTTACCATATTAGAAACCAATCCTTCAACAATCGCTCTTCTGTCTCTAACATCCTTGATAAAAGACAATGATCTGCCTCTAAATCATACAGGAAAGCATCCACTACATCAATCTCCATGTTTTTCTTGAAAACAAGTAAATGATTTCCTGTCTTCCTATCTTAGATACACAATTTGTCAAGGGAAACAGGATTATCATCATCTTCTCATGAAAATTCGCATGAATTATTTTTTTCTGATATATTAAAGACTGGAAGATTTCATAGAGAAATCAAGCGTCACTAATCTGACATTATTACTGACTTTTATTCTAGGCTTTAATGAAAACTTTAATGACAACACATATTCTTCTCTTGTCTCCAGTGATTTTACGCCTAGCAAATATCTTAATGATACATTTATTTTTAAATTAATTCGATTAGAAAGTTATGCTAATGAAGTTACCATAATAAGCTTTAATAAAGAAAACATGGTAATTTTACTGTGCTTTAGATGTGACACAAACGTCCGTATTGTTCTGTGAAAATTTAAAATCCAGACCCAGTCTGGGAAGTAACAGTAAATCCCAATGATAAACACACACAATAGTGGGGTTTTTCTTAATATACAAAAAACAAACAAACAAACTTCTGTGCTTTTTATAACAGAGAGATACTAGAATTCAGTGTAGTAAGTAAATGTATAGAGGCAGTAAATAAGCTAGGAGGCCAAGTGCTAGGAAATAACTTATCCATTTTCAAGAAAAATATTCTCCTTTGTAGCAAACATGAGGTATTTCTGTGAGTTGATCTGATGCATTTATAGGAGTGCTGAAAGTGAACTGCATTAAATACTGTAGAAAAGTCCCACATTCATATACGTCCTTAAGAGTTCCCCAGAAAGAATCAGTTGATCTACAAGTGAAGAATATGCAAATCTCTTGTTAGAGATGGCCACAGTTCAGAAAGATAGAAAAGTGGGAAATCCACTGTTTATTTTAGCTGAGCTATTCTGGCACACTTATTTTCATTAAAGTCTAGAAGAAAAGGCTGTACCAGAACTCTGATGTCAACAGTAGATGTTATGTAGTAGAACAATTTAAACACAATTTTCCTAATAAATCTGAAAAATACCTGTACTAATACCATTCTAACATGGCTAAAGCACAAAAAATACCAATAAAAAACTAAGAAACAGAATTTAGTTTCTTCTCTTAATCTACTAATCCATTTCAAAATGAAGCACATCTTAGAGATCACAAAACAGCCTGACAATAACATGTATTAAACCAGTTCTGCCATCTTACTCTGCTCTTCCTAAGACTAACAACTATAGAAAACTCGGTACAAATATAATCACCAACATTTCCTCCCTAGCCAATTTTTGGCACCAGTACTTTCCCATTCTGAATAAAAAATGGACATGTAGAGCAAGTCCAACAATAAATGATTGGAAATTGTAGCTACTGGATGTCACCTGTCTCATATAGATACCGCATAGCATATGGTAAAGAAGAAAGAGCTGGCTAGTACCTCTCGTGTCATGCCTTCCTTAACCGCAAGTATCTTTTGTACCGGACAACAACAAAACTAGACTGCACCAGGTGACAGAAGCACAATAACTTCAGTTATGTTTTGTTCTGCTTTTAGCTATTAAATATTTGGGTAAGTAGCTATGGGGCCTAAACTGCACTTTTCCACACAAAATTTATTCACCTTCAAGGCAGCAAATGCTGCAAATGTTTAAGGCAGCTGTTTTGTCAAACTGCTGTCTGCTTGCTACGGATAAAGACTGCATTATATTGCCTCATACTTCTGGCTTCAATCCAGAAGACCAACTTCAATGCCTTGAACATTCTTCATTGATTCTACGACATCACCAAGAAGGAAGTTAAGACAAGTAGTCTGTTGTTGGATTTTACACAATACTTACCAGTTTTTCTCATTTTGTTTAGTCCAATACATTTTGTTCCAGTTCCGAGAGCAACAACCTCCTTGGCTACTGAAAAAGAAAACAAACTGCACAAACTATCACCAGAAGCACTGCTCTCATGCAATTATTTTGTAAAAAGGTACAGAACACTGAGTAGGTGGCAGGATGCAGGAGGCAGGCGGTGAGATGTTCCAGCTATAGAACTGAATGTAGTAGATATAACCACTAGTGTGTCATGGGAAGTATATGATCACAAAGTACTGGTACAAGCATTGGTATGACACACTAGGCAATAAGCAGCGAGCAGCAGCAGAAGACTCCTCATACACAGAAGTATGAGTTACAATCTGCATTACAACAACTTGAAAGTGCCAATTAAAGAAAAGAAGGTGATGGTGAACAACAGCAGAAAAAGCACAGTGCACCAACACCTTTACTCCAGGTATCAAGGACCTGTCCAGTCGTTCATCGCTTACTGAATAGCTGGATGCAGGCTTTCACCTTCTCAGCTGCAGTGTGGAAAGAACAGTATTTCACTGCAACTCTCTTTTTTCAGACAGAAGCTGCAAAAGCTCTTACCAGAAGAATTTCACAATAGAGAGAAATGAGACAGGAAAGGGTGTGTCTGTTGCTTTAAAAAATAAGTAAAAGGGTATCTTGAAGGTTAAAAAAAGAATTATCACGAAAATTCACCGCTACCCCTCAGCTTGCAAAGCACGACTCAGCTCTCACCCTTCAGGCTCCCCACACCAGTAGAACCCTCTCCATTAGCAGCAGATTCCACTTTGACCACAGCTGCCAGCAAAGTCCATTCTCTGCTTGGATCTGGCTTTCCCTGCTTGGGGAGTCTGGTCCTATAATGCTCGTAACATAACTCCGCAATTTCATCTGCTGACCACATGGCGCCCGCTGCAGGTACCGCTTCTGCACTGCCGTCACATCTCGCTACGTTGTCGCGCAACGCCTTTCTGGGACGGACGCTAACGTGCTCGCACCGCCCTTTCCAGACTGTTGAAACTGCCACGCGAGACAGAAGTTCCCTATTCTTCTTGTTTCTCCCAAACCGCTGGGAATAATAACAAAGCCACGCTGAAACCCGGGCAGCCCACGAGCAGCAGCTACGGCTGTAACGCCGCCGTTCCTGTCCCGCAGCGCCGCACCCGGCACGGCGCCGAGCTTCCACCCCTCCTCAGCGACCGGGGCCACTCACGCGCCCCCGACGGCAGCTCCGAACCCCCACCCCCAGCCAACGGCGCGGACGCCCCGGGCTGCGCAGCGCACAGCACCGCGCCGCCACCTCCCGCCGAACGCAGCCGAGGCCGCGCCGCGCTCCGCAGCCCCGCCCCGCCCGCGCGGCCCGCCGGGAGAAGCAACTCTCGCGCAGGCGCACGAAGAAACAGGCACACGGCGGACACCGCTGCGTTTATTCATGGCCCGCCCCGGGCTTCACACAGAGGTGCCTTCGGCCGGCTGCTCGGGCTGTCCCTCCTTCTTCTTGTCCTCCGGCTTCATCGCTGGGAACAGCAGCACCTCCTGCGAAAACGGACACGAGGTCTGATCGCCGGCAGCGGAGCGCGGCCGCGCACAAGTCTCGCGAGACCGCCACTGCTCCGCCCCGCCCTGCGCCAGGCACGGCACGCGGGCGGAGCGGGGGCACGGCGCCGCGCCTACGGCTGGCGCGGAGCGTGCGGGGGGGGGGGGCAGCAGGGCCGGCTGTGCTGAGGCGGAACGCTGAGCCGTACAGCGTTATAAACGGCTGTAAGCCCTGCTGTTTTGCGTTGTTACGGAACCTCATTCCTATTCTCTGATGCAGCCAGCAGCAGGCACTGCCACTTCTAATACTTACCTTGATGTTACTGGAATCAGTAAGGAACATGGTGAAGCGATCGATTCCCATGCCCCAACCGGCTGTAGGGGGAAGGCCATACTCCAGTGCAGTGCAGAAGTTTTCATCAATAAACATGGCTTCATCGTCACCCGCAGCTTTTGCCTAAATGAGAAGACAAGCAGTAAGGGGTGTCTGCACAGAGCTAGGATAGCTCCTACCAGAAAGGAGGAATATGTTTGTGGTTCCATCAGTGACGTGGCTGCTAAGTCCTCTACAGCCACACAAGTCAGTGACAAAGGAATCACACCTGTGAAGTTGTGGAGGTGCCCTGTACACGTTTCCAAATCAACCCTCAGTTCAGTTCCCTTGTGACCCAGAAGTTTCTTTTCCAGGGTCAGCCTCCTGACTGTAGTGAAAGCTGTATCTGGAGATATATGATAGCAGACCACAGTGCAATTAATTGCTTTCAAATATTTCTCAATCTCTTCATTGCTTCTCAGTCCCCCTTTTATGTTTACAGAAACAGTTAAGGACCAGAGTCATTGGAATTACTGCTTTGTTTCATGAAACAAAATTAAGTGATTGTTTGTTTTCCTTCAAGATTAAAACCCCACAACACTGGGATGTTAACTGCTGCTTCTTACGTAAACTTACTCTGACAGCCTCCAAGCATGTAACTATTGAAACAACAAACATTTTGGCTCACATAGTTTCAAGATTCTGCAGAAGTTTTAAAGCAAACTACTCTGAGTTTGAAATCCTAAAATATGAACTGACACTCTTCAGCTCGATTTCTGCCTTAACATTATATTTTCATTCCATAACACACAACCAAACGGCTACAAAGACTGGTCGTAATTATAAAGAGACAAGCGCAGCAAACATGCACACAGCATTCTGAAATTTACTATGAAGTTATTTAACATAATTGTATTTTCCTGGGTTTGACAATTGTTTAATCTTCTTGGGTATTGCAAAGCCATCAGAAAGAATAGGAAGAACAGGAACTCCTTCTGCAGACTGTACCATCTGACCTCAAGCACACGTGCACACACGTGTCCATGTGTATGCATATGTAATTAATAACAAAATCAGTACAGACATCTAGTTCTATAAATTTGTTGGCCTAATAGTTTCCAATATGCAGCTCTATTATGTGAACCAATTTAAAAGAATTCAGTTCTGAAAATGAGATATGTCATTCCACTCAAACTCTTACTGGACATGGAAAATTATTTAAGAAGCTGGAAGTATCGTGTTGTATGATTACACAAAGGCTTTGTTGTGGAAAAATAACTGAATTTCAATATGAGGAAGACAGATAAAACTATATATCTGCTTTTTTCAGATCAGTATTGCAGGTTAAAAAAAAAAAGGGGGGAAATCACAGAATCACAGAATGTCAGGTATTGGAAGGGACATAAAAAAAATCATCTAGTCCAATCCCTCTGCTGGAGCAGGAACACCTAGACCAGTTTTACACAGGAATGTGTCCAGGTGGGTTTTGAATGTCTCCAGAGAAGGAGACCTCACAATCTCTCTGGCAGCCCATTCCAGTGTCCTGTTACTTTTACTGTAAAGACTGTTTTTCTCATATTTATGTGGAACCTCCTATGTTCTAGCTTGCACCCGTTGCCCCTTGTCCTATCACTGAATGTCACTGAGAAGAGCCTGGCTCCATCCTCCTGACACTCACCCTTTACATATTTATAAGCATTAATGAGTTGACCCCTCAGTCTCCTTCAAGCTACAAAGATCCAGCTCCCTCAGCCTCTCCTAATAAGGGAGATGTTCCACTGCCTTAACCACCTTTGTGGCTCTGCACTGGACTCTCTTAAGCAGTACCCTGTCCTTCTTGAACTGAAGAGCCCAGAACTGGACACAATATTCTAGATGCAGTCTCACCAGGGTAGAGTAGAGGGGGAGGAGAACCTCTCTTGCTCTACTAACCCCACAGCCCTTCTAATAAAACCCAGGATGCCATTAGCCTTCTTGGCCACAAGGGCACAGTGCTAGACCCATTTTCCCTATATGCTGCTCTCCAACACATCAGTCCAACCTATACTGGTACATAGGGTTGTTCTTGTCCAGATGCAAGACTCTACACTTGCCTATCTTATATTTCACTAATTTCTCCCTGATCAACTCTCCAGCCTGTCTAGGTCTCACTGACTGGCATCACAGCCTTCTGGCATTCAGCCACTCCTCCCAGTTTTGTGTCATCAGCAAACTTGCTGACAGCGCACTCTATTCACTCACCCAAGTCACTAATGAATAGTACTGGTCCCAGTACTGACCCAGTACTGACTCTTGAGGGACTAGATACAGGCCTCCAACTAGACTCTGTCCCATTGACCACAACTCTCTGGTTTCTTTCCTTCAGCCAGTTCAGTCCACCTCAGTGTCCGATTGTTCAGACCACAGTTCCTCAGTTTAGCAGCATCAAATGCTTTACTGAAGATAAAGATATTCCAAAACCTAGATGTATTACTCAACAGCAGAGGTTAGACTTGCTTTCTTATAAAGGAACTTTCCTGTAAGGTAAACAAGTTTTAACAACAGGCTTTCACTTGAGTGAGGAACGCTCACTCTGTGTAATCATAACCCTTTTCATCAGTAGGGACTAGTGACAGATTTGAAAATACTTTTTATACATACCTAAATCATTGATTCCCATTGATTAGGGAAACACCCTACCTTGGCCTGGTCTTCAAAAAGCTGCCGCTGCTGGAAAGGATCATTCAGTTCTGTGTATGCATTACACACTTCCTTCTTCATCACAAAGAGCTCAAAGCGTTCTGTTAGTCCCCGACAAACACGATGCCTATGTGAAAATGACAAATCAACCACAAGGATTTACAGGACTGAAAGGGCATGTACATTTCTCCAGGTGCATTACCCATATTTGGCAGCAACAGCTGTCTAAAGTACTCAGCATGAGCACACCTCTCCTCTGGATGCTGGGCTTCACATCTCAGGAACCAAGATTAATATATAGACTTGTGTCAGAATAGTATTTAACTAGCATGTAACATCAGTACCTCCAGTTTTTGTTTTTGTTGCTTGTTTTTAAATTAAGTAGGATTGAAGGACTTAAAAGAGTTACATTATGACTGCGTATCATACCCTTACCATTTGGCTAGAGGACTCATGATCTGTGGATGATCACAGATGAAAGTTGGGTTGATACAAGTGACTTCGAGAAATTCACCAACTAACTGGGAAAACAAAAGCAAAACACATGTAAAGTACAGTATCACTTCCCAACACTACCTTCCCCAAACATCCTACTTCCTTTTCTTCAGTATAGAAGAAGCGAAAAGCTTTAGTAATTAATGCAAACCATGAAATAGTTTGAATCCGTTTAGCAAACCATGAAAAGAAAAAGCTTTAGTAATCACAGTAATGTCTTCTTTAACAGAAAACATGTATCCCAATTGGATAAGAAAAACAAAATTGCAAAACCAGCTAAAAAAATAGTAACAATTTAATTTGGATGTCATAGCACAGGACAATGAGAAAAGCAGCAGAAAAAGCAGCAGCTAATGCCATTGATTTAAAAAAAAACAAAAGATATGGGAATCTAACATTCAGTAAGGCACATACAAACACACAGTTCTCTTGAACAAAGTTGACATAATTACGATAAAGTAGATCTGGTTTGGGCCTAAAAGATCACTTTTCACACTAAAATTTTCTCATACTAAGCATGTATCAGTCAACAACATTTTATTGAACATGACAAAATTTTGACACCGTGAGGTTTCCCGTTGTCATGGAGAAATAGCCTAAGTGCACATCAGTGTTTTCTCACATGCAGCTGAACTTGCTCTGAAGAGACTTCTATTAAATCAGAATCATTTCAATTGAAAAGGACTTTTATAAAAGTCATTTGTCCAACTTTCCTGCAAGATGGATCAAGTTGCTCAGAGCCTGGTCCAGGTATTTCTACAGACAGATCCTCAAAGATGACAGCAATACAAAAACAAGAAGAACAAAAACCAACCAACCAACCAACAAACCAACTTTACTTACTTTGTCAAGAAGCCTGGCTGTTGTTCTAGGAGGTGGACACTCCACATTTTTCACTGCACAAAGATCATCAAAGAACTTTCGAGTTTCTGCAATTGTAGACAAAAACCGTAAGAGCCACGCCGGTAGCCATATCTTTTATTTCTGCAAGCTTCAATGTCTTAGAGTGATTCTCAAGATCTTAATAGTGGAAACATTAATAGCAGAAATCATAATGGAAAACATTAGCTTAAATGTCAGTTTCAAACACTATGAAAGTGGTATCTGTTTCTCATCAGTTTACATTAAAAAAGTTATTTTGCATTTTAGAAACCTGGACAAGTTATACAATCCAACATTATTACTGCCAGATATTAGAAAAATTACTAAAAAGTGCACTAATGTATTTCCTTAATTGTGAATTCCAAGAATTAAGCAGTAGATACACACATTTTCTAAAAATCCAAAAATAATCTTATTCCTAACCTATCATCACAGACATGGAGACTCAACTGCACAAAAGACAGAATAAATAAGAAATAAAAAGCTGTGCCCCTTCAACAGATCAAAAACTCTTCAGATTGTGCCTCCTGAGTATATGGTGTTACATATACTCCACAAATAAGGAGGCAAGACAGTCAGATCTTACGAAGCACTGCATGGCAAGAAGGCTTCACTTCTTTCTGTACTTTTTTTTTTTTTTTTTTTTTTTTTAAGACAATGCTGGAGAAAGGCAATTCCACGTACTGATGCCACCACGAGAAAGTAGCTGGTGGACTGCAGACTAAGGGCTTCAGATCTTTACTCCCTTTTTCCTAAGAAAGAATTAAGACATCCATAATCTACATCTAACCTTCAGTTTCAAAAGACTCAGTTGATGGAAATTCCACTCCTAAAGTCTTTTCCAGTTCATCCACCATACTAATGCGCCGGAAGGGAGGGGTAAAATCCACCTCATAGGCCTGTCCATCTTGACCATCTGGATGGTAAGTGATCTTGTAACTTCCAGTAATGTGCTTCACCATCCCTATTAAGAGGAAGCTGAAGTTATATGGAACATAATATGCAATTATTTTTGGAGATTCTTACTCTTTTTTAATTAGTAATGCATAAGTAACCTGAAAGCAATTTCTCTGTGATTTCCATCAAATCATGGTAGTCTGCATAAGCCATGTAGAATTCACAAGTTGTGAACTCAGGGTTGTGAGTTAAATCAATTCCTTCATTCCGGAACTGACGTCCAATTTCATATACTCTGTCCAGACCTCCAACCACCAACATCTAAACAGAAGGAAATGCAAATAAATACTAACATTGTCAAAGGAACAGGAAAGAGCTCATAACCACTGCATCATCTGACAAATCTGATTCAAGTTTAGTTCTGTTAATGCCATTCCGAGTCCACTGTCGTGCAGGAATAATCCTCTCTTCAGTTACGCTTTTTTTTTTTTTGGAATGAGAAGTGCCCTTGCTGCTAAGAAGGCTAACATACTATTGTCTGCATTAGGCAAAGTATTGCTAGCAGGTCAAAGGAGATCATTCTTCCCCTCCACTCAGTGCTGGTAGGGTAACATCACAGGTACTATGATCAGTTTGGACTCCTCTGTAAAAGAGAGACATGGTCACACCAGAGACAGATCAGTGCCACAAAGATGAATGACTGACTAGAACGCTTCTCCAGCGAGAAAAAGCTGAGAGATCAGAGACTGTACAGACTAGAGAAGAGAATGCTCCAGGGGAAATCTTATCAATGTACGTAAATACCTGAAGGAATAGCTTGAAGATTGAGCCAACCTCATTTCAGTGATACCTAGTGACATGAAGAGGCAGTGGGCACAAACAAAAACACAGCATATTTAATCTGAACATCAGAAACTATTCTGTACTGTGTGGGTGACTAAAGAGTGGCAAAGGTTGCTGTCAAAAGTTGTGGAGTCTCCCTCTGTGGATATATTCAGAAGCAATTTGGATACAGTTCTGGGTAACCTGCAGCAAGGGACCCTCCTTCAATACGGTGTTTGAGCCAGATGACCTCCAGAAGCCCCTTCCAACCTCAACCATTCAGTGATCGTGTGAAATCACAACAATTTGGAGAATATGGGTTTAACCACAAAAGGCTTGTATTTTACTTTATGGTAAAGCTCCGGAGCGATTCTCATATACAACTTCATATCCAGCTCATTGTGGTATGTGATAAAAGGTTTTGCCATAGCTCCACCTGGAATTATATTCATCATAGGAGTTTCAATCTGTAAAATAACAACAAAATAAAGAACATTAACACTGGCATAAATGTTTCCAGTCTTCTCCCTCAATAAATGCCCTGCTTTCATCCTTAGGCCATTTCTGTTTCTACACTAGAACTCTATAATACAAGCAAACCAACCAATCACAACTAATTCTAATGAAAATTTTCTGCATTTCATTTATTCTTTGACATATTAGTGTATGAAAACAATTCTGAAGGCCACTTCTCCCACGCAGAAAATAAAGACAAGTCACTTAAGCTATTCTGAATTATAGAACATCATAATACGGAAGGGACCAGGAGAACTATTGAGTCCAACCCCTAACTCCACAGGTGGCAATCTAAGAGTTACTCCATATATCTAAGAGCACAGTTCAAATGTTTCTTGAACACAGGAAAACTTGGGGACATGACTGCTTTACTGCGGTGCCTGTTCCAGTGCCTGACCTATGTTGTAGCAAGTAATTTTTTCCTAATAGCGAATCTGAACCTCCCTCAACACAGCTTTAAGCTCACTCTGTAAGGCTTCCTCCACTCTCAAAGGGAATGAAGGAGTACTTAACTCTTGTGTCCAGATCATTGATAAAAGTATTGAAGATAACTGGCCCTAAAGCTAAGCCCTTGGAAATACCACTAGTGACAGGCTGCCAACCTGACGTTATCCCATTTACTACACCTCTTTGAGCCCAACCTTTCAGAAAACTATTCACTCATCACCTTGTGAGTGACTTTGTCTAGAAGGATACATTTTGTCTGGAAGGATACAGAGAGACACAGTACCAGAATTTTTATTGCATCTATTGCTTTCACTTTGTCTATTAGGCAATGTCATGAAAGGATAATAAATTAGTGAAGTGCGGCCTTCCACTCATAAACCCATGTTCATTTTGACTGATGACTGCACAGCGTTTCAAATATTTTTCAGCAACTTGCTGAGTAACCTTCACCGTAAGTTTATTAGGCATCAAAGACAAGACTCTGAAAGGCCTGTAATTAGCAGGGCCTACTTTCTCGCCCTTCTTGGAATTCAGAATAACATTTACTAACTTCCAATCAACTGGGACCTTTGATAAATAACTGAGAGATCTCACAACAACATTGGCCAACTCTTTCAGTACTCTGGGGAGAAACCCACTGAGCCTTGGAGACCACAACTACAAAAGCAAAGTCCATCCCAAATCAACATCAACTGGGAGCTTAGCACATCACCATACATGGTCCTCCAACCCTGCATTCCAGGAGTCCCAGGGACCATCACTGGTGTTTAGAGACAGGGATAAAGAAACAAGACATTTAATATCTCTGCTTTATCATCAACCCAATCTGTGAGATAACCAGCCTCAGTAAGTAACAGATCAGTGTTTTCTTTAAAACTTCTCTTGCCGTTAACACCTGAAAAAGCTGTCTTTGTTATTCAGCACAGTACTGGCCAGCATCAGATGATGTGTGGTCACAGAAATTTTCTCCCTGCAATAGTGAACTGCAGTCTTCCTGTGCAGTCCGACCTTGATTCCAAAGTCCATACTTTTTTTTCTGCCTAAGTTCCAAAGGAGCTCTCTTTTCTGCCTAGGCAGCATCCCAGACAGTACCAGAATCACAAATACAGTTTAACTTCAGAGGACTGAACTGACTGCAAAGTAACAAGCCCTGACAATAAATTGAAGAATATAATACAATACTCATGAGAGCATGGCAGTATTTTTCTAAAAATTGAGCAACTATATGTCTATAACTTTAAAAAAAAAAAGCAAAAAAAAACAACAGCAAGAAAAAAAACTCTCCAGATTGCATTACTGTAAATTAATAAAATACACCGTGCTGAGATAATTACTCTCACTTCAGAAAAATTTGGTAGGTGAACTTGAATACAAAAGTATCCCTGAAACTGAGAAGCTCCAAATACGTTTGTTACGCAGACAGAAATAACAAGGAAGTCTTACCTCAAGGAAGCCCAATTCGTCCAGAAAGCTCCGAATATATGTCACAATCTTTGCACGGGTTATAAATTTCTGCCTCACATAATCATTAAGAATTAAATCCAAATATCTCTGTCGATATCTAGTTTCCTGAAAGAAATATCTTTAGAACAAGGTAGAGAAAACGGACTGCCAAAAAAAACCAAACTGAAGATTACCAAAACAAAACAAGATGAATAGTTCTTTGCTCTCTAATATCATTAGCAAATATAAAAGATCATTCAATCAAAACTATCTGTCAAATCACCTCCAAATGTGGCAAGTATGACAGGTACCTTATCTTTGAGGCCAAAGTGAAGATGAGGCAACATGTGTAGGCATGGAGATAAAAGAGTTACTTCATAAGGAATAATACTCAGTTCTCCCTTCTTTGTTTTCCCAGGATTCCCCACTACACCAATAATGTCCCCACGACGCAATTTGTTGTTAATACGGAAATATTCTTCCTCAGACTTGTAAAGCCTGTAATTACAAAATTCAGCATAAGCAATTTTGCTTAAAATTTAACGTTCCAGTTGTCTTACACATCTCTTCTCAAGCTAAATTCTTAAAGAAGGTAAGAGGGAAGCCAATGACTGACAACATCCAAAACAAAACATTACTGCCCAAGCCAATCCCTACTGGAACAGAGATGAAAATACAGATCTTCTAAGTCCTAGAATGCAGTTCAGTTTAGAATGCTAATAGGAATACTTTTACTCGCCTGGAATTCGCCATGACCTGCAACTTGACTCCTTCACCACGAAGATCATAGAAAATCAGTTTCCCTCCAGAGGCACGCTTTGCATGGATACGACCTAAGCAGCAAAAGAATGCAGTCATTGGGAAACATGTCCCTAAAAGGACGCAGCTGTTGGAGCAGGACACAAAGATGATCAGAGGGCTGGAACACCTCCTCTATAAGGACAGGCTAAGAGAGCTGGGGGTCTTCAGCCTAGAGAACAAAAGGCTCCAAGGAGTGGCCTTCCAGTAACTGAAAGGGGCCTACAGGAAAGTTGGGAAGGGACTTTATATAAGGGCAGGTAGCAATCAGACAAGGAGAAATGGTTTTAAACTGGAGGAGAGTTGACTAGATAGTAAGAAAAAATTCCTGACTTGAGGGTGGTGAGACACTGGAACAGGTTGCCCAGTGAGGCTGTGCATGCTCCATCCTGGAAGAATTCAAGGGCAGGCAGGATGGCGCTGTGAGCTACCTTGTCTAGAAGGAGGCATCCCTGCTTCCAGCAGGGGGCTGGAACCAGGTTAGGTTCCAACCTAAAGGTCCCTTCCAGCCCAAACCATCCTACAATTCATTGTATGATTCTATGACACAGGAGCAAAAGCCACAACATTACCACTTGGAGAAAAAGTCATCAGCCCTGCACTGATCATTAAGTGTGAAAGAAGGACAGTTAAAGCCTCAAAACTACTAAGACTGCATAAGAGTTCACATGAGCTTTGGGGGTCCTGAAGACCAAATCACTATCTGATCTTCTGCTTATAAGGAACGTTGCAGTCTGCTCAGTCTGAAAGGTCTTATATTGAATAGTCCAAAACTGCTTCAGACTTAGCTTCAAGCCCAAGAGGAGCAGCAAGATCAGCAAAATTTGAAAAGAGACCATCACATCTCTAAAATCAGCTAGAACTTGGCTCTGCAAAGCAACAGACCATCTTCCTGCATCTTAGATTATATCTTACCTGCCACTCTCACTGTGATGTCTGTCAAGTGATCTCCCGGCTGCAAGTGACTGTACCTCCCTATAAAATCTGAGAGAGATAAGTCCACATGGAACTTGTGGGGGTAGGGATCTTCATTGGTGCCCTTCAGCTGCTGGATTGCGTGACTACGGATCTTGTAATATTGCTGCCACAGGAAACAAACAAAACCGAATGACTTTGTTTGAATTTCAAAGTATTACACAGATTACACATTAAAACACAACTGCTCTGATTTAGGAATATGTAGGTCACTCTCTATTTTAACTACTTACTTCACTCTGAATAAAAATCAAATATAAATCAGTAATATTTCTTTTCAGAACAGTATTAAGCATGTGGCCACTCTTACATTTGGATCCAAGCTTTCCTCATCGGCACCAATGTTATTCTCTGAATCAGCAGCCAAAGGTTTACTTGGATGCTTTTCACTTAGTTCTTTATGTTTTGCCTCCTTTTCAGCAATTTTTCTCTCAGCCTTCAGGCGTCTTTTCAGTTCACTGTAAAATAAAAAGAAAGCAGATGCAGCGCACACCCCGATACTTCTGTAGGAGAGCATGCAGCAAGACTGACAAGAACTGGCTGTACAAACAACCCTGTCATCCCCCCTGCTCTGCAAGAAAACAAAGCAACGCTTAAGCACGTTTAAGAGTTACCTTTTTTGACTTCTCAATCTATTCTCTAAAAGATACAAATAGTCAGAAAAAACTAAAGCCTCGTTGGACACCGTGTGAACAAATCTGGAGAGAGTGCCCCCGTGTGCCGACGGACGTCCGCAGGGCCCTCCTTCCCACGAGCGGTAACGGAGCACGGCCGCCCCACGCAGCGCCCACTGAAGGAGCGCGCCCTCGCCCCGCAGGAAGCCAGGCGCCGCCGAGACGCACGAAGCCGCCTTCACGGCCCACCCCGCCCCACGTCCCGCAGGCATCCACAGCCCCGGCTCTGCCGCTCAGGACTTCACGAAGAAAAGAGGCGGGGGCAGCCGGACCGCCGAGCACCGACCTGCTTCGGCCACGAGGTACCCGGCACCAGCGGAGCGCGGGCGCGGCCCTCGGGGCCCAGCCGAAGAGCCGCACAGCAGCAGGGCTCAGCATGGCGCGCTCCGACGGATGGTCGGGCGGTTCCGCGCCCCGGTCAGCCAGACGTTCGCTTCGCCTCACCTGCCCTGCCTCGCCCTTTCACTCCTCCCCAGCCCCGCCGGCCCGCCCACCCTCACTTTTTGCTGAGGCGCGACTCGGAGTCCGCCGGATCGACCTCCCGCTCCGCCGCGGCCGCCATCTTCTCGGCTCCGTCCCGCGCTTCCGGCACCGGTGCGCCTGCGTGCAGAGCGCGGAAATGGCGGCGCCCCCGCGGAAAGTGTTCGTCTGGGAGGACGGCACCCCCATGCGCTTCTACATACGGCCCGGGTTGGCCAAGCTGCGCCTGGCGCCGCTGCTGCTGGCAGGGGGCGCGGGGCTGTGCCGCGTGCAGGAGCCGGGCGCCGTGCACCTGGCGCAGCCCGGGGAGCCGGCGCCCGACGGGGCTGTCTCCACCGAGTACGTGAGAGCGTGCGTGGAGAGCCAGCGGAGGCTGCCGCTGGACCGCTACTGGCACAGCGGCCCCGCGCCGCTCGCCGCCTCTCCGCGCGGCCGCCTGCCCTTCACCGAGGCGGAGGACGCGGCGCTGCTGCGGGCCGTGCGCGAGCGGAGCGGGGCGCGGGTGAGCGGCACGGCGCTCTGGAAGGAACTGGAGTGCGCTGGTCTGACGCGGCACAGCTGGCAGGCCATGCGCGACCGCTACCTGCGGCACCTGCGGCCGCTGCACCGGGGTGAGCTGCGGGCGGGGGCCGGGCCGGGGGGGCGGGCGAGGCGCCGCGTGCCGCTGCGGTTCGACGCTGTGCGCGCCTCTTCCCGCAGAGCCCCAGCGGACGGAGGAGGCCGCGGCGCCGATGGGCATTTTCGAGGCAGCGAATCGGGAGTTCGAGAGCTCCGAGGTAAGCCGGCGTGGAGCGGCGGTGCCGAGTGGGATGGTGACAGAGGTCCTTCCTGGGTGCCGCGACATAACTGTGAACCGATACGCAGTACGCTTCTGAATTATTTTGTCCCGTGGTGGCCTTCCTGCTCTAGCGAAGCGGAAGCTTCGTGTAAGCCGTGAAATGCACTGTATGTGGAGGTCGGTGCCTCAGCGCAGCGTGTGGAAGAGGGGGATGTGCTCAGTTTAATTCCTTACTCAAAGTTACTTGAGGAAAATAACCTGATGTGCCGTTGCGTGTTAAAAGCTGTATTGGCAGCTTTCACTTTGGGCATAAAATGTTTAAGTATTTTTTTTATACTCAAGTTGTTCAAATACTGCTTCATATTTGATGTTTTTATATCCTCTTGCAGAACCTTGTTAATGTATTGCTTCACTTCAGTTACTGAATTTTGCTGTGCCTCGTAATTACCTTATACCGCATTGAAAGTCATGGTGAAAGACAGTGTTTGCAGTAAAGCAGGAATAAAAAGAAGCTTGCCAAAAGCACCCATATCTAACTGATGTCTCTTCTTACTTGTAGTCAGGAAGTGACACCACAGACACTCCAGATGAACTTCCTATGCAAAATGGAGAAGGAATGCTTCCAGGTGACACAGCATCTGGCTTGAAAACTGGACTGGGGAACTGTGCTCTCCCTGCTGCTCAAGGAGAAAATAAACGAACAAATGTATGCCCTGATTCCAGCAAGGCTAAAGAAGCAGCACAAATTATTCAGCACTTCGCGGAGGAGTTCCACATGGACCTGCTCACTGTTACACAGGCCTTTCTGAAAAACAGTGGTGAAGTGGAGGCTACTTCATACTATTTGCATGCAGGGCAGCGCCTGGATGGGTACCCTGTGTGGAGCAGAGAGGATGACTTAGAATTGCAGAAGGATGATGAAGATGTCAGAAGTAAATTGATAGCAAAATTTGGAGCCGAAAATGTAGCAAGGCGAGTAGCATTTAGGAAAAGTTAAAATAGGAAAGCAGAGTGAAATGACTGATCTAGGACTGTGGCAATAATTTGCTTGTTTGTTTTTTTTTTAAGTCACTTCAGAATAGTACTTTAGAATTTTCCATCACACTTGCATTTCTAAAAGTTCCAGAAATGCTTTAAAATAAAGCTTATAAAAGGTTGTTGTACTGTGTTCAGAATATACTGAAGTGAAAATGGTGGAGAGGTCCTATCCAGTATCAAGTTTTCGCACTGCAAATTTGATTTTAAACTGTATATCTACTATATTTTTCTTGACAGTCTGACTTGTACTTTGCTGTATGCAAAGGATTTTGAATGGGCTTGGCTAAATCTTATTCAGTTCTCTAAAGCTTTATTAGTATGCTGTCTGTTTCATGTGTCATTTAAGAGTACTGCAGGCAGTCATCTAAACCTGCTCTGCTGGCTGTTTTCATTATCTTTTTGTTGTTATTAATAGACCTTGATTAGTAGCTGACATGTGGCAAAGATACCACTGAAAATTTAGTGGCCCAAAAAGAGGGTCAAAAGCATTCAAGCAAGAACTTATTTGAGGCACTTGGTCTAATGAATCAATGTTGAGATTGGGAATGGCCAAAAATGTTCTCTGGAACATTGTAGTAATCAGTATCATATTACAGTGATTTCTCAAGCCAGCAGGCAGTCACTGGTATTTTTATTACCACTTTAATATGTATTCTCCAGTGCTAATACTGCAGGATTTGCTTAATAGCATTAAATGTGTCATCTGGTGTTATGATTTCAAAAACAATGATTAGCTCTTTCCTGGCTACAGGTTGAAGAGTCCCAGACTCCTCAATCTAGGTGAAGTAATTTAGCATCCATCTCAGACTTGAAGTAAAAAATGTGTTCAAAGTATCAGCTGTGTTGTTTGAAGGAGTGAGAAAATAATTTCTAATATATGGTCACAATCTAAAAAATTCAGTTATTTAAACCTGAAATTGTGCTCTGGACTCTATTGAAATGTTATTTGAACAACCACTCAAAGCAACAGTTTGTCACTAGTGGTTTATAACTCCTATAAGTCTGGAATTCAGTCATCCTTTTGGTGAAGTAAAATGGCCTTATAAAAGCAGAGATTGATATTTTTCTACTATTACTGTTATATATTTGTAACAGTTATATTTACTATTTTTGCTTATTGCACTAGTACACTTAGTAAGATTAAGCTGAATTTGGAAATTGCCAAGTCTAAGCTGAATTCCACGTTATCTTGAAAGTCAGTGGTAATTTCGTGCACTGAGACTTCTGCTTCAGAAAATGGATGTCTTGAAACACCAACTGACTGCCTTGTAGTATTGACAAATGTTAACAAAATAAATGCCAGAACTTTAACACTGTGGTGTTTAATTGGACAGGTCATTTCTGCTGAATAGTTGAGAGTGATATGGCACATTCCGGTTGCTCTGACTAGTTCCTTGGGGTTTATGTGGAAGACCTGACAGATCTTAAGAAAAGACTGGAAGATACCATAGCAAATAATAAGTATAGTTTGCTAGATCTTCTGCAGCTGGATTCAAAATCCAAGGACTGCTGCTGTCCAAGTTCAATAGCATAAGACTCTTAACCAGAAGCACCAGTTCCAGCTTGCACGAGTTCAATGAAATAATCTTGTGGAATCAAAGCTGTTCTAGAACTGAAGATGTGTAACACCTTACATGGCTGCAGCACAAAAAAAGATGGGGCATAAGGCTTGCTGTATTTTTTATAACTAGTTTTACCTATCTTGGTTGACATTTCCTGTGAGAATAAGCTTGTCTTTTTCAGGGCAGTTAATCATGCCTGCATTACCAATTTCCAAGTCTGTATAAGGTGCTTTTACCTTTGTAAAACTACGTGAAGACATCATCTAACACTGCTAACATTTTAATAGATATTTGATGAATTCTTCAGGTATAGGAACTGACTAAGAAGACAAAACAAAACTAAAAAAAAAAAGCAGAGCTAATACAAGGTATCCCTCTTCTGTTTTGAACTTCTAAAAGGCAGTGCTTGTCCCAGCTGCACTCTTGAGCGTGTGGCACTAGGTCTCTTTGTTTCACTTTTCCATTAATGGAACCTGGAGATGTCTCCATTGTGGGTCAGGTTCACATCATTTTGTCTCTGCCTTCTTCCATGACAGAAACCCTTTCTCCACTTGGTTTTACCAAGGATACAGCTATGATTCCTCAGCTGTGAGACAGCTTATTTTTCTAAGGTGGTATTAAGGCCCTGTGATTTTTATATCAGGAACACTTTGTAGCCCAAAGAAATACACACCTATCTTGTTTAACTGGAACAGCTACATTTATAAAGCTGGGAGAGCGAGTAATGCAGCAAAGCAAGTACCAGAACCTCGAAGTTAAGCATTCTGCAGCAGACTATTATCTAGAGTTTGGATATTTCCCATTTACTTCCTTTCATCATTATCAATGAAGTCCAGTCTTTCATAACTACAGTGAATGAATTCTGGCCATTCTTAGCTGAAATTACCAATGAAAAACTGATTGTATATGCTAGGTTGAAGAGCAACATGAAGGAATAGCAAGGAGCTTATTTTTAAGTGCCCCTTTGATTATTGAACTTTTCTGTCTTAACACTTTATTGCTCTAAAATCAGATTTTGCTCATCTAAACTTGCACAATATGAACTTCACATTTGTTTCTTAACAGACTGCACAGATATTTAGTTACGCATGTGCCAACAGATATAGCCACAGTTTCATCTGTCATGCTCACTGTTTTGAGATGTATCTTTTCCTCCCCCAAAATTATTTTTGCTTCCACTAATCCAACTTTAAAATTTCAGAAGTGTAATGATGAGGCTGAAATCCATGGTCCTGTTTTTTTTTTTTTTTTTCCCTGAGTTTGCTGAGGAAGCAGAAGTAAAAACAATTTTTTTAACAGCAATTTAAGAAAATACATTATATGTCATTTTATGTCATCTGTTTACCGGAGACTGGAAACACTGAAGGGTTTTTTTTGTCCAACTAAATATTTAATACAAAGAGTCAAGTCCATCAAAACCAAATATGCATAATAAAACTTCTGCTACTCCAGCTAACATTGATCAATGTATAAATATAATTAGTAATGTAGTAATGTACTGAAAAGAGTCTATGGCTGTGAAGAAACAGGTTTCTTGGCACTTCAAGTGAAAAGCTCCTCACTATGACTACAGTAAAAACTGGCTTCTGAGACTATGCTTTTAGCTGAATACGTTGATATAAGCTATAAGCTAAAGAGATCTTTAAAAGTACAGCAGCTGTGCTCTTCTCTGGTGCTGTAAGAATCACACTTCTCTATGCCAGCGTGCCTGCACCAACTTTGTATAAATGCCATGTAAAGGAAGATACCTTCCTTTAGTGGGCTTACTGCCCCGATGCTAGTACTGCCCAGCATGGTTTTCACATTCACTAAGAGAATCTCTGACAGTATCACTCCAATTTTGATAACATATAATATTCCACCCTTTTTAAGAAATAGAGCTTTAGTTCTAGGACTACAGATGCCTTCAGTACTGTGATAATAGTTGATCTGTAAAAATCACTTTTTTACAGGGTGGATAACAAAACACTGGCACAGGCTGCACAGAGAGGTAATGGAGTCTCCCTCCCTGAAGACCCTAAAAGCTGCCTGGACCTGGTCCTGGGCAACCTGCTCTAGGTGTCTCTGCTTGAGCACGGTAGTTGGAGCAGATGGCCTCCAGAGATCCCTTCCAACAGTAGTCATTCTGTGACCGAAGCCTAAATGTTGGGCAGAACATCAGATGTCTCCTCTGTGAATCTAGCTTTAAAAGATTCTTAAAAATAATTCTAGATGGAGATCTACATCTTCACAATAGAATCAATATTATTCCAACTTGATGAAATGGAAATTCAGACTTTGGGAAGATACAAAAATATCACATTAAGTTTTTCCAGCCATTAGGAATAAGATCTTAAATTTAAACAACAGAAATTATACTTAGAGGAACCCTATTTTAGTCATCTCCCGAAATAAACCATGTCCCAGCTGCTTTAAGTTTTTTTCAGTCCTGGTAACTGGGGCTGATTGCTTCACCTAAAAGGAAAGGATGATTTGAAGTAAGATTTGGGTAGCTACTGTGCTGAAGGAACAACAGCTATAGGACAAACCCAGCTTGCACAGCATACTGACTTTGTGATGCATCTGAATATTTCAGCGTGCTAGGCCCTGTCTAGAGGTAAGAGACATGTGGATTCGATTTCAAAGGGCTTCCAAAACACTGACATTTATCTGGTCCTGCACCTGGAAATCAGGAAAGCCTTGCTAGCCAGTTAATAAGCTGGGGTCTGCCCCACACTGCTCGCTTATGAGGTATGAATATACACAGAAGTACATGAAGTAGAATTTCAGGGACAAGAAGAATGCTGCAACACTAGCTTGTGAAATCTAAATCATTATAAATATTTATACTGAGTTACATCAGAAATTGAAAAATACGATCCTCCCTCCAGCTCATATAATCTTTCCCACTGCTGACAAATTGTACTCCTAGCAGATCCCTTTCTGGGATCTAACTTCCATCTGTCACCTCCTGCTCCACAGTTGCACCTGCAATTTCCTTCCTAACTGCTGCAGGATGGTCTCTTACCTCAAAGGCGTGCAGGATCTGAAACACTGATGCTTGCCTCACCGAAGGTGCCTGCAGAGATGTTTCTGGGCTGGGAAGCCATCCACTTCTTTGAGCTTCTACTGTTGGTGGTCCCAGAGCAGATCGTTAACTTCAGATGACTCAGTTTATTCCAAAGTCCAATCTAGCTAGCAGCTACTTTGTCTTGGTAGACAACATAATTGCTCAGCATCTATAGCGTTACTTTCTCTGCTTTCCTTATCAGAATTAGCACATAATAAAACCTTAATTGATTATCTGCAACAATCAGCTGTAAATTTGACAGAAGAGTCTTTTTCCTGTTATTCGAGATAGCTCATCAGTATGGGTGGCAGAAGAGGAGTCACCCTTCAAATACAATACATGGAACCTGGACACTGCTTCTTGCATACACACTTTCAAGTATGAATACGGTCACCAGAGAAGTGCAAAGACAGCTGTGTTCCTAGCAGTGCTGCAAATCAGTACAGGCCTTGGGAAAGTGTGTAAAAAGAGCAGAGAAGCTTTAAATTTGTTCCCACTTACCTTGCATGTGATGCATGTGCAAGTTGTTAACAATGTGCCATTTTGAAGATCATGGGAGGAGCTCTCCGTACTCCCAAGATAAAGATGCTTATAACCTGTCTGTGATTGTTTATTCCTGGTTAGCAGTATAGATTACAGTAGTAAATTTGCCCATTAATAAATTTAAATGAGCTGTTGCTTGTCAGTTGGTTTAAGGAACTGGAGTCAAATTGAGACGGTACATCAGTGAATTTTTAGACATGGATTTCCCTGCTTCAGACTTTAAAAAAAAAAAATGAACTAAGCTGGGGATCCATGTTAAAGGGACACTGCAACTTGCTTAGAAGGGGCTGTCTGTGGGTATTTCATTCCATGTGTCTGGTAACAAGATTTACTCATTTTCTTATAAAGCGCAGTTATAAATAGATGAAAATTCTGTCGTTCAGGTTTAATCTGCATATTCCCATTGAAGATGGAAAAATGACATTTCTGATTGATATAGGAGATAGTGGAGAATAGCATACTCTACGAAACAATTTTATGGTGCTCTTTTTAGGGTACACTTGGGTCTGAGAGACAGGAAGGCTCAGGAGCAGAGTCGAGCAAATCATGCACTTAGAGCAGCACAGAGGGTTACGAGTGTTAGTCAACATACACACACTCATACAGGCATCCATTTTTAGATAATTCCCGTAAGTGGGAAGCAGAACCTCCCTCGACAAGTGTACCGTTACTCACCAACCCTTGAGAGATGACAAACCGCTGAAAAGGAGAGAGAAGGACCATACCAACAGAGCATCCCCTTTAAAGGGCACTTTTCCCTCTCCCACCGCAGCTGCTCTCCTGCTTTGATTCTCCCCAGGGTCTGCAGAGTTTGTTCCACTGCACTTTGTACCCATGAGGCCAATGTGTGACACAGAGCCCAAGAAGAACACCTGCTTGCAAAACAAGTCTTTGCAAAAACAAGACCAGTTACCAAGATCAGCTCTCTCAACAAAACAAGGTATTTGCAGCTACAGACACAAATACCAGTTCCCTTAAAACTGTCAGGATACTTTGTTCCATCCTAGGATCATTCTTTAGTCAGGGGCCTTCAGGTCCCTGGCATATGCTCTAAGACAGGAAATACTTTCACCAAATAAATAATACAATATAATAATTTACTGTTCTCTTCTCAGCTTTTTTTAATACAATGCCACGAACCTATCTTTCAGTTTCACTATGCATATCAATAGAATCTGTGTTCCTACCCTGTCTTTATAATCTTAGCACTAGCATGAATTCTTCTCGTTCTCACATAAACTGTGAGAACTCCCAGGTCAAGAACTCCTTCTGGTTTTGGCAGCTAGAAAAAAATCAGTGGGTTCACCCCGTCTCAGAAATAGATCCCTATGTGCAGACTTAGGAGTTTTCATTTACAACTATAGCTGGTATATTCCATTTTCCTATGATGTGGCAAATGAATGCAGACATTTTGCCAACACTGCCATGAATGTTAAAGGCCCAGGCACAGGAATAGAGTTGGGGGGGGGAGGGGCGGGGGAAAGGGGAAGGGAGAGGGGGAAGAAGAGCTTTCCAGAAAACACCGTATGTTTATCATTGTATCTCTTCTGTCATTATATGTTCCCAAGTGGCAGCATGACAAAGAATGTTCTCTTCCTTTGGCTTCCATTTATATTTCCTCTTCCACTGCAGTGCAGTTGTTCCACATGGTTTCTCCAGTACTTAGCTGTGGCTTGTGGAGGGGTTTGAGCTCTGACACCCAATTCCACTCCTCTGGCAGTCTGTTTGCTTCCATCTACACATAATTCCTCTTTCCCATACACCCCAAACTTAATTTGGATAACAGATTTGCATTACTCCAGGCTGTGTTATAGCTTTGCAAAGCTACCCTGTGCTGCTGCTGGTAAAACTGTCGTGAGCGCTGTCAGCACTCCTGTGTTATTCGACCTGACCTCACACACCCACCCCCCCCCCCACACACAGAGGTACCTCTACCCCCTTCAGCACAAGTAAATAGTTCTCCACCATGCAGCATTCAGAGAGGAGGTACAGAGAACAGCTTTTCTGCCTTCAGAATTTGTTCTGGCCAAACAAAAGATCCAGTGACATGTCCTTCTGTTCCTCTTCAGACTGAACTAGCCGGTACCCCAGTAAGTCCATTGCATCCTTGCACACACTTTGCACTTTCTCTATTTTCTCAAAGGGAAACGTGTTCCTCCAGGCCTCAGATGTGCTCAGTGCATCTCTGGATCCAGTTTCAAATGCTTGTTCTCCTTTTCCCTTCCCGTGGGTAATATTGTGCACCCACTTCTGAAGTTCTGGTGTGAAATGGAGTCCTGCAAACCTATACATCTGAGCAGCCTTTCCTAGTGGATCTCTGACAATGTCTTCATAACGAACTAGCAGGTAACGATCCTTCAGAAAGCTGGGAATAGCCTGGCTACCTGCCTTGTAAATCTCAACATGGCTTTTGCAAATTTCTTGCATTGTGTTGTAAGGTCCCAGTTCTCCCTTTGTCTTCTGGGACCCCACAACAATGTCACTGTCACGTTTCAGTTCTGCCATTGTATTCTCTCGGGACCTGAACACAGCCCGAGGATCACGGACCAAGTGAATTATTTTGAGGTTCAAGGATGGATCGGTGAGAAGTGGGTAGAGGACCTTCAGGTCAAAGAAACGAACCTCCTTGATGACAATGTGGCTGTAGGTTTTACAGGCTTCTTCCACCTTGCTGAATGAGTATCTGCCACAGAGAGTTCTGCAGTTTCCTGCAGCAATTATGTCGTTGCGACTGAAGAAGTCACAGGCAGGAGGGGAGCACAAGGCTCGGCTTTTCTCCCACTGAAATAAATCAGACTTTTTCTTCTGACTAGACATGTAAGCATCAAAAACAGACATATCACAGAGAAAGACTGACCTGACCAGGTCCCGCACCGCCATGTGCAAGACTTTGGCACTGTTCTGGTACATTGTAACCCATACATGCCATGCAGGCTCCATCAGGTAGAAGACACTGGGGTGCTGGCTGAAAAGCTGGCCAGTGAAGGATGATCCTGACCGCCAGGAGGAGAGAATGAGAATGTGGACTGGAGAAGGTTTTAATTCCAGGGAGGCAGTGTTGCTGCAGGTTAGGAAGTGGAAATGGATCAGAAGAAAGAACAGAACTGCCAGAATCAGAAGCATCTGCATCCTAGGTTTCATCATGGTTGCAAGGGACCTGCAGAGACAGAGAAAGGAAGTTCAGCATCACAGTCACGATGAAGACAACTGCAGTGAATTAGGCTCCTGCCAATCCCTCTGCAGGCTCAGTGTTTTGGAAAGCTGCCACACTACTATGATACTGTGATTCCATCCAGCATGTAAGCACACATTTTCTTGACTATCATCTCATCTCCATTCTGTGCACATTTATTGCGGTCAGGCTTCATAGGGTAGCAGTTACCATTTCTCAGAGCCAGGACAGAAATCAGGATTACACATTAGGCTGCATACTGCCATCATGCACTACCACAAATTTTATTTTTGTAACATATTGCAAGGATAAGGCTGTACAGTTAGAAAGGGACCACATTCTTATCATCTCCTGGACAAGAAGCCCATTCATTTTTTTGGTCATATAAATCACAGATATATAGAATGGTTTGGGACACCTCCCTCTAGACCAGGTAGCTCACAGCCCTGTCCAGCCTGGTCTTGAATGCTTCCAAGATGGAGAATATGCAACCTCTCTGGGTGACCCGTTCCTGTGTCTCATCACCCTCACAGTCAAGAATTTCTTCCCAATGTCTAGTCTAAACCTATCCTCTTCCAATTTAAAACAATTACCCCTGTTCTGGTCACTACCTGCCCTGATGAAATGTCCCTCCCCCACCTTTCTGTAAGTCCCTTCAGGTCCTGGAAGGCCACTATAAAGTCTCCTCAGAGTCTGCTGATTTCCAGTCCAAAAAGCCCCAGCTCTTCTCTCAGCCTGTCCTCATAGGGGAGGTGCTCCAGCCCTCTGGTCATCTCTGTGGCCCTCCTCTGGACCTGCTCCAACAGCTCCATGTCCTTCTTGTGTTGGGGGCTCCAGAACTGGACGCAGTACTCCAGGTCTCATAAGAGCTGGATAGAGGGGCAGAATCACCTCCCTCAAACTGCTGGTCACACTTCTCTTGATGCAACCCAGGATATGGTTGGCCTTCTGGGCAGTTGGCACACATTGCTGTCTCATGTTGAGTCTCTCATCAAACAACACTCCCAAATCCTTCTCCTCAGGGCTACTTTCCAGCCATTCTCTGCCCAACCTGTACCTGTGCTTAGGATTGCCCCGACCCAGATGTAGGACCTTGCACTTGGCCTTGTTGAACTTCATGAGGTCATCATGGGCCCCCTCTCAAGGCATCCCTCTGTTTAGTCTGTAAAGTTCAGTTCTGACAAGAAGCTTATTTGCATAGTTATTCAGCCTAGTAATAGCTGCAAACAAAGACCATTGTAAAAATAAATCATGTATCAGCTTCCTCCTAACAAACGAATACAGCAGTGTTTACATAAAGCCCTGGCTTCCAGATGAACTTTGATGATATCACTTCCATCTGGCACAGGTAATATCTTTGTTCTAATTCCCAAAAGATTTCCTGGACTATAGTTAGATACACAATCAGAAAAAAAAAAAAAAGAAAAAAAAAAAACCAAACAACTCTGTTGAACAAGCACGAACTTTGACCATTAGATACCCAGGCAGATATAAAATCACAGAAACCATTATTTCTCTGAATGTGAATAGTCTGAATATGTGTAAAAGAGAATGGACTCAGTTTTGTCAGAAAGAGGGAATGTGCTTTTGCTTTCAGCAAAACTAGAGTATGATAAATGGACGCTGTATACATTTCCCTCAACACAAAAAGGACATGGAGTTGTTGGAGCAGGTCCAGAGGAGGGCCACAGAGATGACCAGAGGGCTGGAGCACCTCCCCTATGAGGACAGGCTGAGAGAGCTGGGGCTTTTTGGACTGGAAATCAGCAGACTCTGAGGAGACTTTATAGTGGCCTTCCAGGACCTGAAGGGACTTACAGAAAGGTGGGGGAGGGACATTTCATCAGGGCAGGTAGTGACCAGAACAGGGGTAATTGTTTTAAATTGGAAGAGGATAGGTTTAGACTAGACATTGGGAAGAAATTCTTGACTGTGAGGGTGATGAGACACAGGGACGGGTCACCCAGAGAGGTTGCATATTCTCCATCTTGGAAGCATTCAAGACCAGGCTGGACAGGGCTGTGAGCTACCTGGTCTAGAGGGAGGTGTCCCTGTCTAAAGCAGGGGGTTGGAACTAGGTGATCTTAAAGATCTCTTCCAACCCAAACTATTCCATAATTCTATGATTCACAGTGTATGTGAATCATCATTGTGGCTGCTATTGGTGTTTACCTGAAAAACAACCTCAGGCGAGGCTGCAACCTCAATGGGGAATTTCTTCTCCCATACAAGCAGCAGTGATGAATTTTACCCTGACTAGTCTGCTCCAAAAAGTGAGGAGAAGACCTAAAATGATTTGTGTGCAGCTGCTGACACAGAATAGAGGAGTAGCAAAGAGAGTTAGAAGTCTAGCAGACATTTCTAAATATGAAATAAACACTAATCACACACACTTATTTTTCACCACTAGACCTCTTGCTCATGACAGATGGAATGCTTCTAAACTAAAATCTTAAGCTTAACCACATTATTTTCCTGACAGCAAACATACATAGCCACAAGCAGAGTGATTCGATCTATTTTACCTCATAGAAGTGAAATATGAAGCCCTCACAAAACTGCAGAGTGGAAAGACAAGAATCACTGAGACAATCTCAACTGTAGAACAAAAAAGGCACACTACTACTGTCAGCTTGCACAGAGATGAGCCAGGATTTGACTCAATAGTGAGAAAGCTGCAAGGCTGGCCCCCATGAGTGGCTGCCCCATGCTAGATAAGAGGCAGTTCCAACATGCTCCAAAAGGGATCTGCTGCCCGCCAGAGCTGAGCCAGTGAGCAACGCTGGTTGTGCCTCTGTGAGAGCGGGTTTCAGAAAGGGAAAAACCGCTGCATGCAATGTGGTGGAGTTTTGCTAATCCTAAGCATAAAATCACCACAGCCTTTATGGAAACACACAGAGACCTAGGGAGAGCCTGATTCTGACAAAGAAAGAGCATTATAGAAGGCAGCAAGCAGTCCCAAGCACAGGTACATATTATGACTGTGGCTGGTACATCTCCAGTGTACAGGGCTCTGAGTCTATGCATCTGGGAGAAGTGATCATACAGCTCAAACACCTTACACCATGTGGACTGTGGCTTGGTATTCTACTACACATATAAGGAAAATCTCCAGACCAGCACTGCTGCAGTTGCACTGGTGTAGCAATGAGTATCTTGTGCCAGGAAAGCCCCAGACATGGGTCTTCAATGGCAGTGATGGTTGCTCATAGTTTTACTACATCCTTCTTCGATTTGACCTTGTTAGCTTTTGCAGAATTAGAATTAACATCTGCCCATTTGGAGCAGAAAATGGCATGGCTGGCACTAGTGGGAGATACTGAGAAGACAGTCTAGAGAAACAGGAAATACCCTCTAAGACAGACCAACAACTTCCATCTATGTGAGGAACAATACAGCACTTTATTTGCATCTACACATCTATAGTACTTTACAAAAATGATCTCAGGCTGCTGAGCACAAACAGCAAAAACAGTTCTGAGCACCAGAGGATCTGCATCAGTTACCAAGAAATATTTGAAAATCTCACCTTAGAATATCCTCTTGAAGCACTACCGGACTTGATTCAAGCAACGCTTCCCTCTTGTACATATACTTCAGCAGTATACACTGTTTCAAGAAGCCCTACAAACACCTGCGCATGTATATACAGGCACTCAGCTTTCATGCTAGGCTCTCATACACATGTGTACTCAGCTCTTATCTATACCTCATGCTACCTCCTCTACCTTTCGTTTATGCCTGAGCTCTGAATACTGTGCCTCCCTACTCTTACCTGCCATAAATTATAAAACTCCACCCTCCACTAGCAGCAAAGCATGGGAATGGCAATTTCATGCAGGAGCACAAAGGTCCATACACTATTAAAAAATGAAAAGGGCCATGAAATTCATGAGGGCAACTGAAAGTTGATTTTGCTGAGATCTGTTGCAGGCCTCAGAAGAGCCTGTTGTCTTTAAGATGTGGAACAGGAATGTGACCTGCTTGAGTTGAATTTTTGGGAGCTGAAAATTGTCTGAAAGAGGCAGCAGAAAAAGGAGCTGCCAGACTTGTCCTGTTAATAATTCAGAAGGATATTGGAGCTGCAGTTGGGCTGTGCCAGGTGAAGTGGTAAAGAAGAGCAGAGCTGGACTGGGGAAATGCATAATATTCTGCAACTGAGAAGACAAGTCACTTCGGGTAATTCCTATTCCAAGTGTAATCTTTTCTGTTACGTTTTCTGGTGAGATGTTGACCTCTTGATGGTGCCCTCTGTTCTTGGAGATCTTACTGTGCTGCTCTGAGGACTGCTGGAGTATAAGAAATAGTAGTAGGAAAAAATACAGGCCTTTCTAACAGGAGGGACAGCCTGAACAGGGAAGGGAAGTTCATGTTCTCTTTCACTTGCTTCATTACAAACACAGATGGTCAAGCCCTGGTAACTTTGGATCAGGAAACAAGGCTAGAAGCTGACAGTTGTCCAGATACGGCCCTGCGGAGACGAGCAAAGTTCTGTGCAGCTTGGATTTCAGCTATGTGTTCCTAGTCCCTCACAGACAGCATCTGTAGGATGGATTTGTATGTATCATAGAATCAGAATTGCTCAGGTTGGAAAAGACCTTAAAGATCAAGTCCAACCACAATCTAACCAAATTACCCTAACTCTAACAACCCTCCACTGTATTGTGTCCCTGAGCAGCTAGACAATGTCCTTGAGCAAAAATGTCTGTGAGAGTTACAAAACTGATATCTAAGGTCACACCATGGAGTAGCTCCTCCTGAAGCCTAATTTCTCCCTACTAACACTTGCATGAACAGAGATACATGAAACTCCTAGTCCACCTGTATGTAGTTTGTCCAGGACATGTTGGTCCTTTGGCACCAGAATTCAGGCTCCACGGCAGCACTGAACACTGCTGTACAGTGCTCCAGTAACAGAGCTCAGACTTTTTCATTTGCACAGATCACAAGTACGAGCCGCTTGGCTGAGCTTTCCAGAAGGCAGCCTCCGTGGCATAAGCAGTTGTATAGAGGGGAAGAATGTACTCTTCTTTGGAGGCAAGGCTTGGGAAGGCACATTGTTCTGGCACTCTGCCCTCCTAGAAACCTGCATATTGTGGAAAGTGAAGGAGAATACTCTGGCATTTGAACAAAGGACCTGCTTCTCCCTGTATGTCTGACTGATAAGCTTTAACCAATAGATGAAGCAAAGCACAAGCGAATAGCAGTCAACATGTGCTTAATGGCAATTAGCCCCCTACTACTTGGTCTTGAGCAACTTCCTACCACCTCAAACAGTGGCTGACCATATTTCTGTTTTCTATTCCACTCCTTGATTAGAAGTGTTTTCTAGAGACTTGGACTTGCAAGCCCTGTGAACTGCCATTTCTTATTTCCTGAAGGAGAAAGGAATTGTGTATTGTGCATGCATACTCAGGCACATCTGGACCAGTGTAGCAGCAATAGGAATAGAGTGAGGAATAGTGTCAAAGGTATGGTCAGGAGATACTTTTTCAGTTCTGATACTGTAGTACAGGCACCCCAAAGGCGTCTTTAGTAGTCTGATGAGAGAAACAGACATACCTAGAGCAGGAGAACTAGCTCAGCTGAAAATCCTGATCAAATTTTGCCCTGTTTTCTTCCATCATCAAGAGCAGCTGTCCAAAGAAGAGAATATGCTTTCTTCCCTAAGTTCTCCCCCAGATGCAGCGAGCTTTGGAGTACTTGATTCACCTAGCTGAACATGGATGTTCAAACCAAGTTAGAAAGTGATGTCCTAGAAGTTCATGTTTCTTTCCATTGACTATGACAAGAGGAGAGGGTGATATTTTTGAATAGGCATCAGTACTGAAGCTGTGTAATAAGATCAATTGAGAATAAAGTGGTCTTTGTACTTCATAACAACTAGGTTTTTTGTTTTCATTTGTCCAGACATGCTTTGAACTCACTGGTACTTCTGGCATCTGCAGTACTCTCTGGCAACGAGAATGTCTGGCTGCACATTGAGAACTACTACCCTCTGTTTTGAAACTAGCATATTACAACTGTATTTAATAATGTCAACATTTTTGTATCAAAAGAGACTAAGAGCAATTTCCCCCTATTCACAATCTTTACTGCTAACCAGAATTTTAGCAACTGCCCTCACATGCCCTGTAGAATACATTTTCTCTTATACTATATTTATATATAAAGCAGTTCATGGGAACAACGCTGCAGAAATCTCTCTTTCCACCAATTGCAAAAGAAGCTCTAGTGATTAAGTCAGCGGAAGAATATTAAAAATATTAACTCCTGGAGCCGTCTGTCATACACAAGAGCACAACCTTATGCAACATACAAGATGACTCTGACTGGTGAAAGGCCTTCATACATTCTGCACATTTCTCCCCTCTTCTTCAAAACAAACTCTTCTGCCTCAAGAGCCCTGCCCTTGGGAACACCCTCCTTTGGAGAAGGCAATGTTTACTTGCTGATAGGATTCCGGGCACAGATGGGAGGTACATTCTCTTTTTAAAATGGAAGTTTGTTATCCTGTGTGGCTCAGATCATGACTTCAACCTTGGAGATTCTCAAAGCTGCTATTTTTTATTTTTATTTTTTAAACCTCTTGGCAGAAAGGCAAATTTAGGGTACAAGTCTCACTATCATGTGTTTGCTAATATTTATGTAGAAGGATCAGTTAGTTCTTGACTCATGTTTCGTGCATCCCAGACGTATAAAATCAGGAGGTACCACATGAATCAATGCAGTGACTGTGGACTTGCAAATGCTTGCCACAGAAAGAGATCTCTGTCTCGAGGCAGAGGAAGTTTAGGTGTTTTCTAGTTGAGGTGACTAAGGCTGTAGAGGACAGAGAAAGTTTTGGATTTGCTAGATCTGTGACAGAAAGCTACAGCGTAGCTGCTCACATAAAGGCCTGCAAACCTCGCTACTGATTGCTGGATTTTAGCATTCACAGGGAAAGCCTGGCTCTTTGCAGAAAAGTAATTGCTTATTGCTTTCATAGGGCTAAGGGCAGCAGAGCAAAGCAAAGTTCTTTGGCTTTTGGAAAGAGATCTTTTTGGCAGGGATGCTTTATACATTCACTCTGGTTCTCTGGTTCTCTGGTTGCATTAGAATTGTTCATAGGAGGTTGAAAGGAAAATCTACAGTCATGCAAGTGCCAGAATGCATAGATGCAATGTCCACACTAAATGCCAGTTAGGGCCGTTTCCCCTGAGCCGGAGCAGAACTCACTCCATCTGATTTCCAAAATGAGGAGCAACAAGGAAGATAACTTAAGCGATGTCCGACATGACACATAGCAATTCTCCATAGCAATTCCCTGGCACAGCCTGATGTGACACTGGATTTCTGTTGCTACAGCTTTTTTCTTGAGTTTGAGATAAACTGTAAAGTTATAATATGAATTATAAACAGTTTAAGGTAAATAGACAAGCCTGAACTGACACAGTCTAGTCCCAGAAGATAAACTTGATCTTCAGACTTTGCTCCCATTTAGCTTGATTATTTACCTAAAACACCGAACAGTTTAGGGAATGACTTACACCTTACTCATGGAACACTGATAATGGCTGGGAGTAGGATTTTCAGGTAATCGGTGCATGTGAGTACAGCAGGCATACAGGAAAGATTACTCAGAGTTGCAGTAGGCAAGAGTAAAGATGCTGGCTGACTCTTTTGCCCACCCTGGTTCACCCATACATGAGTGAACCCTTCTGCTGGGTTCTCAGACTGAGGACTAATGCATAAGACATAACCACAACCTTGTTCTGAACAGTTGGTAAGCTTAGCTAGCCAGCTTTCAAGTGACAGTACCCCTACTGAGAATGTGTCTTGTGTGCTTGTCCTGTCGACAGCAAGACTTGGCCCACACTGAGCCTTCCTTTTCCACTGCTCCTCTACTTTCTCATAGTCTGGTCTCAAAATTGCTGCTAGTCACCTTAAGAAAATGCTGTCCCCCAGCCCCCTGTTGCCACTTCCTCTTACACCCACTGTCTTTCCTACAGTCCCGGACACTTCACTTTGTGGAATCCTGTCCATATCTCCCTTTGACACACACTGAATATTTCCTTCCTCTAGTACTCATGGGTAGTACTACTGAAGGAGGTCAGCTCATCTGGTGTCAAGTTCTGACAGGGCCTACACACACATCTTGGACAAATGACGTTATTTGCCACCCTTCACCTCCAAACGAGCCTGAGCAATGCCAGGACTTCCTTGGTCATACCTTGATTATCTCCAGGTTCCAAGACAAACCCTAATGGATCCAAGTGCATTCTGCTTTCTAGTGAAGAGCGGGCTGATCCAAGACAGTCTCTCACGGTCAAGGGCCATAGCTTCATGGTGGGAGGCACTCAGTAACTATTCCAGACAGCAGCCCCACAAAGGGACAGTCAGGTCTGCTGGAGGACATAGTAGACGAAGAGAGGGCCAGGAGAATGGGCTGAATCCACTTTCTTGGGGCACCTGGATGAACTGATGGCCTAACTACTGGCAGGTGTGATTGAGCCCAGCCCAGCAGGGCAAATTGTGGTACTACAGGCACGTCAGTCTGCTGCCAGCTCCTTTGGAAGCTGAGAACGCTTAATTTAATTTCTTCATCTGCCTAGGAGCTGAGAAGTTACTTCATTTCCCTAGGAAGGCATAAATGTAGCCTAGGCACGCTAGTGTTGCCTCACCACCTAGGTCTCTGTTTGGGGTTTGTGTTTCCTCCTAAATATGGCTTGCCCAGACAAAGCAGAAAAGAAGATAAGCATGCCGCAAGCCTGCCTCAGGGAATACAGCTTGTGCTCCCCAGCTAAGACATAGAGGATGAGTGTGGATCAGCCATTAGAGTGCTGAAAAATTCTACCAAAGCACTCGACACAAAGGCAGTAATGGCCACAAAGTGTTATGTTTACAATAGATGATGGCAGTAGAGGAAGCAGCATTGAAAAATCTAAGTATATTGAGGTCTATAAGGAAAAAAATAAAGAGGCGTATGCCTCTGGCTGCTGATCAGATGCTTGCTGGGCTAAGAGGAACCAGAACTAAAGATTAGCTACATATTAACAGAAATCTCTGGGAGCACTCTGGAGGAAAGGGGATCCATGAAGGGAAAAGGATCTGAAAGGAGCAGCTTTGTTTAAAAAAACTATTCATTATTAATGGAAATTAAAGCCTCAGAACCCAAGATACTTGGGGAAGAGTTCAAGACAAACTTGACAGCTGCAGTAGATGCAAACACAGTACAACAATGCAGCATTGTCATGCTGTAAAGGCCTCCTGACCCAATAGATTCCCATACACCATTCTATTTATCATTTGCCAATCTTTGTCTCAACCAATTCATGTTATCTGGTTCTATTTTGAGGTCTAGTGACCTCATATCTCCAAAGTTCCTCTCATTCCCTCACAGCCCAGCTTATCTCTTTTTTTCAGGAATTGCTTTGTTTCAAAGGAAAGGATGTAGCCTGGACACTCAGCTGATGAGTACCTTTTCAAACACTGCTATTTTTCTCACATAGCTTTCTCCTGCATACTGGTACTCAGACTTTGTGCTCGACAGACACAACCTGGCAGGAGGTCTGGCAGCATGTAATTCAGAGCCAGCTCATTTTTCATACCAGAGAGAAGGCAAAGTCAGCCTGTGAGCTTCACCTTGCTATAAGACAGGTGAAGAGAGATGCAGGTGACAGCATGAAGAACACTGTACGTTACTCCTCTGTGAAGAGAAAATGTTCCTCAAGCCCCTGACTACAGCAGTCAGTTTGATGGGCCCATTTTTCCATTAAGTGCCAGGCCATCAGTTCTTTGTACTTTGTGGGGCTTATGCATCCAGCCATCAGCAACCTGGGCATGGCGGCACATCACAAACACACTGTGAAAGCACTTCAGAGACGTACCACCTTGGCATTTACTGTTGGAGTGGGAAACACCCACCTTGAATATCTGGAGGTTGGTGCCTGGCACTGCCCACCTGGGCACTAGCATACATCACTCTGCTGGGAGCCTGGGAGTGGCTGTAAGGATCAACAAGCAGCAGAAGATGGGGTGAGCTGTGGAGAGGCCCAGCCACCACAGGAAGCTTCTAGGCTCACTGGAGTGGGGGCAGTTGGCTCTTGTCTGTACCAGGTTTGCAGAGCCCATCCTGCCCTGACAATCTGGTGAGTACTGCCAGGGTTGAATGGGCTGTCCCTGTGCTTTGGCTGGTGGCAGGGCAGGCCCCAGCCAGGCAGCTGCAGGGACAGAGGTGAACATGAAGCACCACATGCTGAACAAGAGTGACCCGCTGGGCACAAGCCCTTACTGACACACTATGGGGACTACCATGTCAGAAGATTTATTAATAAAAAAAAGTCACAATAACTTACTCCCTTTGCTGGACAAAGGGCTTGGTATAAAGCGCTCTGGCCTCCTAAAGTAAGACAGGTAAGAGGTGGGTGAGTGTCTCTTGTCCTCTGAGATTGTGGCCATCTCCTGCCCCAGAGGGGGAGTGCAGGCAGTGCAGGAACTACTGGCCACTCAGGGTCAATGCCACAGATCCTGGTGCAGGAGCAGCCAGGTGTCCCTGCCTGTGGCTGGTTTGTGGCCAGCACAGAGACCAGTATGGGGTGCAGATGCAGAGTATATGGAGACCACAGGCACCAGATGCCAGAGGGTGTGGGAGGTGCAGTGGAAAAGGAGAGGTCTGCTTCTTTCTATGGTGCTGAGAGGTCTGTGAAGCAGCAGGACAGCACTGCCTACAGGCAGGGGGATATGGTGCTGGCTGGAAGCAGCCCTGCCTGCCATCTCACACAAGGTCTAGGCTGGCAGAGGCAGGAGGTTGGCTGTAGCTACTTGTCACACTCAAGATCCTGGGCCCCCTCAGCACCCTGGAAGTGCATCTCACAGAACTCCTGGATGCGACTGCAGGCCTCCAAGATCATCTCTTCAGGTACAGTGATCACCACACGGAAGAAGTTTGGATACTCAAAGCACTGAAATGATAAAGAATGAGACTGGCAGATTATTTGGGATACCATTGGTGTCTCAGAGCCTTGCCCTGGGGCCATATCCTATATCAACAAGTGAAACAAGCACAGAACATAGAGTGAAGATGGCATGGTTGGACTCTCACTCCATTAGACATTGTTTCATTCCAAGCATACCTCCCAGCTCCCTCTATAAAAATTAGTGCAGACATAATGCTATGCCAGTCACAGGCCAAAGCACTGTATGGACTGTGTAGGAACCATGGAACAGTCCATAAGGAGGTAGGGATTCTTCCCTTCTTCTCAAAGGGTTAGAGAGGGTCAGAACTAGAGAATGTCTGAGGTCCTAGGATTCAGTGCAGGATGTAGAGCAGGATGGACATAGGCACAAACATGACTCTGAAGTCTGCAGTCTCTTCCTACAAATGTGGGGGACTGGAAATGCAGCATGTGAAGGAGCACAGGTGGGAACAGTACCAAGGCCTCTGAGAGAGTTACTTCAGTAAGGCGGTATGGGGGTACATAAAGTTCAGGGATACAACTCTGCCAACATCTGAAATAAAGAGCAAGTTTGGGACAATCCTGGCAGCTTGACCAAGGACTGTTAGTGAGTTGGAGCTTGCCAGTTGCCATCCCTACACAGCACTTGGACCTCACAGGGTGTACATACACACCATTACAGACCATAAACATTACATACTAGATTCCCAGACTGTCCCCAGAGCTCAAGGATGCAAACCCCTATTGCTTTTCTCCCTATGCTTGGGGCTCTCAGTATCAGACTCACTGTAGCTGGCAGGCAAAACACAGACTGCTCCGAGATGAGCCGCTCAGTGAACTCCACGTCATTTTCAAATTCAGGAAAATGCTCCATTTCAATTTCAACCTGCAGCAGGATGAAACATGGCAACCATTACTATCTACCATGTCCCTGCTCACCCACATTGCTCAACAATTTCCCAGCTAAGTGCAGCTGTCTGTCCTCAGGAACTTTTGCTCATCATTTGGGCTGAGTTGAACATGAGAGACAAACAGAAACATATCAGTGAAATCTGGAGAATTTTTAAGAAGTGAAGTAAATTTAAAACTAACTGCCCAAAGCTGGAATTTCAGTTAAGGACAACTTTAGTCAAAAGCTGGTAGCATGGATACTGGAACCAATTAGAAATGAGAAGGGATAAATAAGATAAAGAAAAAAAAGTGTGAGAGAGAACTCTACCCATTATCTACCACTAATTCCATCATGCAAGAAATCCATAAGGCAAGAAAAAAGGATTGGAGATAAATTAATGAGGTGTGGGAGGGGGGGAGGGTTTTTTTTTTTTTTTTTTAAGAAAGCGAAGTCTAGAATCCTATGGAGAAAGAATTCTTTGTGGTGAAATAGGTGTGGATGATATAACTGGTAAAATGACAAATAAAATAAGAAATATTCAGTAACTATTTCTGCTCTGTATTTGGAAAAAAAGAAGACTGTCCCATTCTCACATAATCAAAGACATCTCATGAAAATATTCATAAATAAAACAGGTGAGAGATAATTTGCATGCAGAAGGTCTGCATGCAGGAGAAAAATTTTACCAGCTGATTTCATATGGAATAAGTGTTCAGATATTACGGAAATACTAGAGTTGTGAACAAGCCTTAGAGCTATCCCTCTACATAAGCAGCATAGGAATGACTGTAACGCTGGGTAAGACTGGCTACTAGTGAACTGATAAGGATTTATCTATTGAGTATGAGTGAGACTGATGTTGCAGTATATTTCCATTTCTGAGTTCTAGGGTAACCACTGATGACTGGAATGGCGTTTCACCCTCCTCACTTACCATGAGGTACATGGCTCCAGCAGGCCGAACAGGCTGGAGGCCTGGGATAGCTGATAGAGCAGCATAACAAAGGTCAGCATTGGACTGAAAAGTAGAAAGGAGAAAGTTCAACAAGAGGAGAAATTCTAGGAAGCTGATTAGCAAATGGAAACCAAGTTCTGGACCAGGACTATGAACAAGTTTGCCCACTGCAAATAAAGGGGCAAGGAATGCAAACAGTATGGGTGATTATGGCCTTGAGTAAGGCAGACATCACTGAGCTGAACTCAGCAAATCAGGGCTTAATGCTCCACCACCTGGGTCATCAGCTCTAGCTTCAAGGCTGGGCTGCCTGACATGGCCAGTATTCCTGCCACAACAATAAGCTAGAGAGATACTGATTCCCCCACTCCAAATAATACCTGAACAAACTACTGACAACCTGATTACCTTGAGGATGCTGAGGGTGTTGTGGTAGAAGTCAGGAGGCGTTCTGTGCAAGATACGTTCCAGTGCTCCTTGGACAATTGTACAGGGTCCTAGGATCCTTTGGCTCAACCTGATAAGGCCATCCCTGATCTGAAAGAAATATGGTGATATTTGCAGACTGCGCTCAGACTGTGCTTCTGTGCTTTTCTAACAGCTCTGAGGCTTACTGTCTGTAGAAGTTCTCTTCAGTAAGCATGGAGTCCTTCAGAACATTTACTTGACTACATGCCAGGTGTCTGCAGACTATTTTCACTGTCATTCTCTGTTCCCCAGTCGAAGACTATAATGCCAGCAGAAATATCCTTCTGAGCTTTCCAGTCTGACTTAAAACACTTAATATTCTGACTAAATAAAACCAGAGCTAATCCAAATACCACTTTACATGTCCATTAGGTTTGTGCCTATACTCCACACTTTCAAAGTCAACTAGGAAGAACTAACATTAGCTTTTCTGCTCACTCACTGCTGGGTAGAAAGGTCACTGCAGTAGTCACAGCATTTGCTCTCGTAACATGTATGAATAGCCAGACAAAACACTGGCTACACAGCTTGGAATTTTGGTCCCACATTTAAGAGAAAACTTATGAGAGCACATAGACTCCAGAGACTGCTGGATAAACCATGCAATACCATCAATGAACACCAGAGCTATTTGAGAAGAAAGCAGAAGCACACAAACAAGATGAGAGTAAAAGCCAATATATGGGTGCAGATGAAGTAAACGAGAGACATGAAAACCCAGCTTGTGAAGAAAAGAATGTAAGCAATTGGGTTACACCCAAATGAAAGCAAAAGAGCAGTACATGCCTCTATCAGTCAAAGCCCTGCTGATCCACACACTGAAGACACTGCAGATCTGTTGTCTTGACAGTGACATTTGGCAGTTCTCACCTCGTTACCAAAGATGTCTCTCCTGTCGTGGATTAGGATCCAGCCCATTCGCCAGCCTGGGACTAGCCATCGCTTTGCCAAGCCACCACAGGACAAGATTGGTACATTGGTGCTGAGAGTTGCAATGGGTTCATATTTGCAGTCAGCAAACACCTATGACAGGTAACTGTGTTAGGGTTGTCACTGTGTCTCACTGTGAAAACTGGGGGGACTGTGCGTGAGACACAAGAAATGAAGCAGGACATGAAATGTACAGCCAGGACAACACATTACAGGCATGGGACAGGTAGTGTAAGGGTGCAAAGAACTGTGATGGACACTCACCATGTCTCCATAGATCTCATCAGCAAGGATGGGCACACACTGTCTTGATGCCACTGTGGGAGAGAGGGCATTCAACGTAGTCATCCTGTGTCCTCCACAGGAGCAGACTTGCCCTTTTCTACAGGGCCTAGAAGATTCTGAGGGAAGTTCTGCCCCAGGGCAGAGGGTCCCTTTCTTCCTCCCATAGGGTGATCATTTGGAGAGCCCTGTCCTGGCTGAGCCTACTTCTGCTCTCACATGTAGACCACATGCAGTCTTACCTGCCAGGATCTTCTGAAGGTGGCTCTTGCTGAACACAGAGCCACAGGGGTTTGATGGGTTGTTCACAATTATACAAGCTGTTTTCTCATCCACCAGGGACTCCAAATGCTTCAGATCAATTTCCCAGGACTTCTCTGGCTGATGAAAAAAGAAAAGGGGAAGTAGGGTGGAGGAATTGCACTTAATACACAGAGTGAGGTTTGACAAGGTGCTCAAGGATGCTCAGATCATATTTACCCATTTCCCAGGCAGGGTCAAGATTTTTATTTATGTATTTTTAAGAGGCAGAGGTGTCAGGACTGCCCTCTCCAAGCTTGCCACCACTTACCATGAGATTGTAAAGTTTAACTTCAATTCCCATGGACAGTGCCAGAGTCTTGTAGAGAGAGAAGCCAGGCCGTGGCACCAGGATGTTCTGGCCTGGATTAGCCAGCACTGCCAAGGCAAGTTCTATGGCTTGACTGCAGCCACTTGTTAAGATGACATCCTGCAAAGAACACACAGGAATGAGTGGAAAGTGCAACCACTCTGAGGATCCCCAGCCACATGGAATGAGTGTGGAGCCTGACTGAAGTCAGGGAATCAACAGTTAGAGAGCTTGATGTCCATTCAATAAAAGTGGAAGAGAATGGTCCAAGTCAGGGAAAGGGAGCAGCAGGTTGGTGTGGAACAAGGCCATGATTTACCCACAGGTACCAAGGCTGGAGAGGGAACAACAAGAGCTGGGGCAGAGTCCCCATGCCACGTGGTCTAGGAATGGGCAGCAGCAATCTGCCTGTACTGCAGTGGCAGTATCTTGGCTGGACACCAGTACCTGGGCCTCCAATGGTGCCTCTGGGCAGTTGTAATATGCAGCCACAGCTTCTCGACAGGACTGGTAGCCTGTGGAGAGAAGAGCCACACATGACAGACAGGTTTTTACAGAATCTCTCTTTCTCTCTTTTTTTTTTTTTTCCTTTTTTCCTTTTTTTCTTTTTTTCTTTTTTTCTTTTTTCCCCTCTAGAACAAGGTTCCCAGGTGCCTGCCCAGCCAGGGTAAGCCCATTTGTTAATGGCATTGTGTCAGGGTGGCAGAGATTATCCTGCCTCAGGCCAGGGCTGAGGCTAGACTATCCAGCCTGCAGACCCAAAACAGGGCCAGGTGTGTCATGAGAGAAGACAGGCCTTGGACAGAGGGGTGGTTTTTGCCCCAGCATGTGCTGGACATGGAACATAATTGAGCTGGGTAGAATGTAGCCAGAAAGATGTTTTTACCCGGTAGGAAGCCAAGTCTTGTTGCATGACCTTCACTTGTTTAGTGGTGGTACAAGGGCAGCCCTCTCTGCACTGGGTCCTTATTGTCACAGAGAATTCTGTGAGGCAGGTGTGATGTGTGCTCTGTGTATGCTGTTAGCACTAACTGCAAACAAGGCTCATTCTCTGTAAAGGCAGGGAATTCAAGAGGAGTCCTGGTCAAGGTATACCAGGAGGAATTTGGCCGCAATCCATGGCCAGGAGATACAGTCCTAAGGCCTTCTGTGTCGCCGAAGCCCTGCCTGCTATAATGGGTTAGGAAGCAAAGACAACTGATTGTGGGAGAATCTGGGACTTGGTAGTATCTCAGGGAAAACAGCTATGTGATGCTTTCTCAACCAGATCATGCAGGGAAGGGCACTCATGGCATTCGGGACATACACATTTGTGAGCTCATGGGACTGCTGAGAAGGGTAGCTGCAGAGTGCTACTGGAGAGATGTCCATAAAGCTGCTGTGGGGAAGGACCTGCCACATGCCTAAACTATGTCAGCTTACCTACAGATGGAGCATAACCATTGTAACGTCCTGAGTCCAAAGCCTCCTTCATAGCTCGTGTGACTTCATCATTTGTGGGAAGGTTTCCAAAGACTGTTGGGTCTCCTTTTCAAAGATTGAAAAATAACAAAAATCAGAAAAAAAAAGAAAAAAAAAAGAAAAAAAAAATCAGTTCTCGCTGATCTGCGGCAGGCACAGAGCCTTGTGGCAATCTGGCATATTCTGTTGTTCCCCACAAGCTTTGTGGTTCAGAGCCCTGCAATCTGGCAGCCCCACAAGCCACCTCACTGCTCAGAGGTTTCAGCCACAGCACTGTGCTCACCTAAAGACAAGGAGATCATGGCTTTCTTTGGGTTGGGCTCCACCTTCATGCTGTCTACGATGGCTCTGACAGGATTGAAAGTCTTCTTTGACATTTCAGAAGCCCTGACAGCCCATCTTGGCTTCCGGCCCTTCACCTTTCCCAGTGACATGCTGTTTCCATTGGTCTTGAGATGAATATCCAACAGGGGGACATGATCTCCTTGGCCATTCACTTGGATCAGGTACGAGTCCATCCTGAAAGTTGTTAGTGGTAAATGGATTTCCTGAGCTTAGTTAGTACATGCCAGATGAAGGCTCTGCCTACCTGGGAGTCACTGCTTATCAATCTCCAAAACTAAAACTTCTGAAAGCTGCAGAACTGCCTACTGCCTATGTGCAAATCAATCACTGGCAGCAAGTGAAGCTGTATTTAGGATTAGGAAGGAATGAATCTCCACACACAAGTGAGCTCACAATGGAGCAGGAAAGACGAAGGTATTTCCCTATGCTAGTCATATTGCTTCTTATTATGGGGGCAATTGCTGTGCCGGAGAGGAGCCATCTTGCTAAATCATAAATGCATCATCTAGTAGTTAGCAGCATACTATAGTCATTGCATGGCTGCAGATTCAGTGTTCTGCTGATAGAAGGGCCAAGTCTTGCATTGCTCCCCCCACCTGTCAGCTATTAACTTGCAGACCCCAAGTTGTAACCCAGTATGTGTGTGTACCACACCCAGAAAGTCCCTCCCTCCAGTCTGCAGATAGAAATAAGATACTGTTAAAATTAAACCTTAAATAACAAAAAAAGTAGTTCTGATACCATCTTATCAGGATACAGTTAACAGTGTTAGGGTGTAGGTTATGGCAGCACTCCAGTCCAAAACAGGCTCCAGATCAAAAGGAAGTGCATAAAAATCAATGAAGAAATGCTGGTGGGATCATGAGGGAAATTAAGCTGGTGACACCATCCCAGGCAAAGTGCCTGCAGTCCTGCCTGAGGCTGGGTAACAAGCAAAGTACAGCACAGGAACAGCTGCCTTCTAGACCTCCAAAAGTAGGCAGGAAAGTATCGTACGTATACCCAAATTACCACCTAGTCCAAAACAGCAAAAGCTTAAGATCTTCTGCTACCTCAGGAGGAGGTTAGGGCCAGAGCCAGCAGAGACCTCCTTAGCCACCAAGCCTATTCTCAATGACATCAGAATTGTGCCTTGTAATCCTTTCATCAACTGCCCAAACTCTGTTTCTTCAGGCTCTTTTTCTGTGCTCCACTAAAAGGCAACTCACTGAACTGCCTGTGACCCAGTCCTGATGGTAGTAATATAGCCCCATCAGCTGTTAGATGCCATCTTCACAGATATTCCAGATGTGATAAACAAGGGAGCTAGCTGACCCTCCCAACACTGAAAGGGTTGTCGCATTACCTGGCTCAGGAAGGATTTGCCACATGAACAAATATCTCACTGATTCAGTAAGGTTTGCTCATAGATATGCCCCATGCTGCTGAAGTTACTCTACCAGCAGTACTTCCTCTTTAAAGCAACTGAGATAGATCTAAGAGGTGGTAGTGACAAAAGAAGATTTAACGTTCCCTACTTATAATGCCTCATGAGTGTCCTTTGTACCAAAAGAAGGGTAACTGAAGAACCACACTAATTCTTCATAACTGCATAAAAAACTGAGAAAATAAATGAGCCGCATGTCTCTGTTCAACAACAGAGATGAATCCCAGTGTACAATGCACATCTCAGCAGAGCCTTCAAAACACCTTGCAACATGCAGAGGGAAGCTGCACATGCAGGCAAAATAGATGCCTTCAGTGTAGGCAGACAGGGAAACACTCCCCACACATCAGCATCACCAAAGAAGGTACCAGAGGATTGTACTTTACCTTCTAACAGCAGAGAGAGGGAGTCACCAACAAGCTTAGAGGTCCAGTCCCTACTTTTCATCCAAGACAAATCTTGAGAAGGAATTCCTGCAAATTCTTGCGCATGAAATAAGCCCCCAAACTGGGCGTTGGGACAGAATCCTTTAGCCATTGGCTCACAGAGAGGGCTGCTCTCTCCACCCAAAAACGCCCTCTCCTCTGTAACCACATTCACTGCAAATAACGGGAACATGCTTGCACATTAACTCTTTGTGAGTTAGCCTGCAGTTTTGCTTCCTGGAAGCCTTGGACCACCACCCATCTGAATTACTTCCCTCTGCACTCGAAGACTTGATGGTAGGGGAAGAGGAAGAATCCCTTACTGCAGAGCCCATATTCCAGCCCTAGCATCTTGTAATACACCAAGAATGGGTTGGTGGACTCAGCAGATAGTAATGGTATGTCTTGCCCACTTCAAAGGCTCTGAGTTCTTAATGCTGAGAAAAGGCATGTGGCATAGCTACACAGAGGGGATGTTTTTGCCTATAGGATGGTGGGAGGGAAGCACTTCCCTAGCAGGCACCAGGAGCTGAAGGGTTAAAGGAAGCTCAAGTTACCTTTTTTGTTATTGTTGTTTAATTTTGTTGTCGCAATGCCCAAGCAAACTCTCATCATTTTGGCAGGTAACAGAGATGATGAAATTCCCTCCCCTCTGATAGGGCTGCAAGCACAAATGATACTGTTACCAGAAGGCTCTTTCTTCTTAAGCAATGTAAAATCTATGCTTTCTTGTCCTTTGCCTGCTACAGACTGCGGATAAATAAGAAAGCCATCCACACCCTTCCTGTCTTCCAAGGGCTGCTACAAGTCTTCCTCTACTACCTTGACAGCAAATGGCTGGAGATCAAAGAGCTGCTTAGAGGCAAGAGGCATCCTACTATCTCCTGGTAAATGGACTGCTGACACCTTCATTGCAGAGGTCAGCAGTAACCATTTTTTTTTCTTTTTTTTCTTTTTTTTCTTTTTTTTTCTGGTCATACCCACTCTGTTCTCGTGTGGGAGGGAGGAGGACCACCTGTGCTTAGCACATGCCCACTGCATTACCAGCAATAAGGCTGCATCTCCCCAGGTGCAGTGGTGTGACCCTCCCAGCCCTGGTCATGGGTCTAGGGTGAAGTTGCTGGGGAGTTCTGACCTGCTGTTGGCTGCAGTGCTATACTAGGTGCTGCTGAGGGCACAGCAGGGGCTAGTGACATAGGTTCTGGAGATGGGCTGGGACCTGGTGGTTTGCAGCCAGTGAGGCTGGACAGACACTCCTATCCCAGCTTGACTGGCAGGCCTCCCACAGCAGCCACCCTTGGGGTCTTTGGACAAGGAATAATCCCTTTCAAAAACATCTAACATAGAAATATCTTGTTTTCAAGCTTTGAAGCTGTTTATATTCTCTTCTGTTGAGAGCTGCACAGCTCTAGTTTTTCTCTTCTTTTTCTGAAGTCTGAAATGGATGACCTTCAAAAGCTCAGGTGTGTCCTCTCCAAGCACCCGCGGGTAATTTTCTCACTTCTCCTAGCTAGCCTCATCTCTTGATGTGCTGCAGCCCTACCAGGGTTAAATATGCTGCTGGGAGGTCTCAAGGACGCTCCTGCATGTTCTGCCTAGCAACAACACTGAACTGATGCAACCAGAGCTCTACCCATAATTCTGCACACTGCAGTGGGGTTCAGGAGAGGGCACGGTTGGGTGGCCTGCTGCCAAGAGGAGAAAAATGTGGCTCTGGAGGCACAGGTAGACTCAGCTACACAGGGATGAGAACCTGTCCAGACATGGGAAGGACACAGTGCAATGGGGTCAGTGGGTTTATCCTGCTATTGTTATGCCCTTCTCTTCTCCCTGCATGACTCCAGTCCTTATCTGGTCAGTCCCATGTCATACAGCCCTCCCCATCACCTTGTGCCCACAAAGCCTCCCAGGAACAAAGCATGAACACATGGCTCAAGTTTTCCAAATACAGTGACACCAATCCATGCATAAAGCAGCAAAAGAGGTGTCCATACTCTGCAGTGCGTGTGTCTGCAGTAAGGCAGCTGGTGGTACTCTGTATTCCACCAGCCCTCACACACTCTCTCTTCCTCTTCCTCAGCAGTTCCTCCCAATGGGTTTCTTGTTTTGTGCCCCTTCAGCTCCCTTTTTCTTCTGTAGCATCAGCAATGGGCCTTTGTCTTATTGGAAGAAGAAACTGATGATGGCTTTGATGTTTCCTTGGTACTGCCTTGCTCTTGTACCACAACTGCTCTGAAGACTGTTTCTGTGAACAGAGGTCAAACCTACAAAACCAAGCAGTTCCCTCTTCCAAGACGAGCCACAGTTATAAAGGAGGACTGACAAATGGCTGCTCTAATGGAGCATGGATGTAACCATTGCTACACTGGCAAATCTATGCCTTCAGTTAGGCTGCAGGCAGGACATACTCCAATACTACTATTCAGGATATGTTGATCCAGGGACAAACACTCAGCTGCTCTGCACAAAAATCTAGTAGGATCAATTTCAGATCACCTCAGCAATTACCTCCTTGCATTTTGCTTATCTTTCCAGCAATTTCTGTCTGCTTCTTCCTGACACTGGCACAGCCCTAACAAGGTCAGGGGTGCTCCACTAAATGTCTGTCGCCTAATTGCTGTTTAGACCTTTCTAGTAGTATCGGTCTTTAATAACCAAGCATGTAATTTTTCCCTTTGTTTTTTATTTTAATCAATTTCTTATTAATCTCTCCTGTAGAAGAACAAACAGCTGTGAAGACTCCTTGGCTACAGTGAATTTTGTGACTGATTACTGGTTCCCAAGACATTTCTAACTGAGCAAAGCAGCAAGTACCCCAGGCTCATGGAGTGTCAGCAGCACTGGTAACTACAGGCCCAGCAGCCACAGTGAAGGATTAACAAGCCCTCCTAGAGCTGCAGCAAAGAATGCTCCACATTAGCGGCCACATGAGTGGCTCCTGGGTGCAGGCACCGGGAAGACAAGCACCTTGCCAAGCCTTGTTCATTGCTTACATCCAGACAAGTGTTGCGTACGTGCATACCCATGTTTGAGGTATGACTTCAGATACTTGTGCTGTTGCATTGTTTATTGAGGCAACTGTCCCGTGGATGGCCTTGAAGCCATGCAGGCAGTGACCAGCCAATGGGAATGAGATGGAAAGGAACACGATGGCTCTGTAGGACAAGGGGACAACATGAGCTGGTGGTGAGTGGCGTAGGCAGACTGAGGCACTTTTCTTTCAGAGCAGAGAGGTCAACCACTCCCATGACTGAACATGAGCTCCAGTGATGGAGACCTACAACATGCCCAGCTTAGCTGCTCCAGCAACAACTTTCCTCCAACTTAGGTAGTGCTGGAGGTCGGGCGTGTGTCTTTTTTTCTTCTTTATTTTTTTCTTTGAGGGTGCCTAAATCACATCTCTCTTGCTTCAGATTAAGATCACTGCTTCCTGATCATGCCAATGACAGATAGGCAGAACAAAATCTTACTCTTCTCTTGACAATGTTTTTTTACAAGTTTGCAGGTTGTTAAAGTGCCTCCTTATTGACCAGCTTGCGAGTTGTTAACAGGCACTTTTTCAGGCAAATGAGAGGACCGGGCTACGTCTTCTTTCTTGGTTGTATTTCCAGATCTTTCTTTTGCTGTAGAGAAGAGCAAAAAGGGGAGGAGGGAGCAGACGAATTTCTTCACATGTCCTACATGTGACATTTATGTTTATACACCCTAGTGATGTTAGCTTTTTTCGCAACAGAATGACACTGTGGACTTGAGTTCAGTTTGTGATTCACAAAAACCTCCCGTTATTTCCTGCAGCATAGCTGCTTTGTCATTGTGCTGCACTCACTGTTTCCATGACTATTTGTGTGAGACAGTAAATCTGTTTGTGGTGTTCAGCAGGGATTGTGCTCCCTGCTCCCAGATGCCTTGTGCTGGAGAAGTATGAAGCAGTCCATGACTCGTTCTTCCTATTTCACCCTGCGAGTTCCCAGGGAGGGCACTGAACCAGGTCAGAGCTCCTGGCCCATGGCAGCCAGGCCTGGCCCTTCCCTCCCCACCATGAGGCAGTGACATCAGGAGCAGCCAGAAACAGGAGAGGAAAAAAAAAAATAGGAGAAGCCAAAGCAAAGGTAAACAGAGCTTGTTGCTCCTTTCTCTTGACTGCCGCTTCCCACTTCTTGTTGCTGAGGACAGGAACCCAAAAGGTGATATTGACCACATTCAGCTGGTTTAACAGCTGCGATAATTTGAGTACAAGTGATGTAAAACATTTTGATAACAGTTCTTAATACAGACACATAAACTGAATACGATTCAATCAGATTAGCAATGACCTGAAGTTTGTGCTCGGCAGCAAACATTCTAGTAGAACATTGATGTGTCACCAAATCAACAGCACTTTGCAGCTCTGTCTTTTTTTTTAGATAACTAATTCCAGCACATCACAAAATCTAAAGACAGTTTTGGCTCAGGTTGCTGAAGGACCAGCAGCAACACTGCATTAGAAACAACTATTATTACTCACAGTTATTCAGTTTGTTTGTTCACATACCTTTCACAGCGGTTAACAGCTCTACTAGGCAAAATGGTATTGCCCGTGATCCTAAAATTAAATGAAGAGTTGCTGACAACATTTACCCCCATCCTCTTCCCAGCAGCAAGGAGGTCTTAGTTCTAACATATGAACATGAGAGACTGGAACGTGAGCACACCAAAACATGTGTGAGAGTCTATTGATGAGCATCTGCACAGTCTCTAAAGCTCCCACCCTGGCCTCCACTCCAAGGTCTCTCCATTTCACAAAATCACAGAATCACAGAATGGCCAGGGTTGAAAGGGACCTCAAGGATCGCGAGTCTCCAACCCCCCTGCCACATGCAGGGCCATCAACCTCCCCATTTCATACTAGACCAGGCTGCCCAGGGCCCCATCTAACCTGGCCTTGAACACCTCCAGGGACGGGGCATCCACAGCCTCTTTGGGCAGTTGTTCCAGCACCTCACCACTCTCATAGTGAAGAACTTCCCCCTGACATCCAACCTAAATCTTCCCTCCCTCAACTTAAAACCATTTCCCCTTGTCCTGCAGTTATCAACCCTTTCAAAGAGTTGATTCCCCTCCTCTTTGTAGGCTCCCTTTAGGTACTGAAAGGCTGCAATGAGGTCACCCCGCAGCCTTCTTTTCTCCAGGCTGAACAAGCCCAGCTCCCTCAGCCTGTCTTCACAGGGAAGGTGCTCCAGTCCCCTGATCATCTTCGTGGCCCTCCTCTGGACCCTCTCCAACAGCTCTCTGTCTTTCTTTTACTGGGGTCTCCAGACCTGGATGCAGTATTCCAGATGGGGCCTCACAAGAGCAGAGTAGAGAAGGACAATCACCTCTCTGTCCCTGCTGGCCATCCCTCTTCTGAGGCCCAGGATACCATTTGCCTTCCGAGCTACAAGAGCACACTGCTGGCTCACGTTAAGCTTTTCATCCATCAAGATCCCCAGGTCTTTCTCTGCAGGTCTGGTCTCAAGGACCGCTCCTTCCAGTCTGTAGGGATGCCTGGGATTCCTCCGGCCCAAGTGCAAAACCTTGCACTTTGCCGTGTTAAACCTCATTAGGTTCACCTGGGTCCACCTTTCAAGCCTGTTGAGGTCCCTCTGAATGGCATCCCTTCCTTCCACTATGTCAACCGCACCACTCAGCTTGGTGTCATCAGCAAACTTTCCTGACATCACATCGTCCTACAGCTCCTGCCCCCTCTATCTGAACTGGAGAAAAACAAGAATTCATTTTGTTTTGCTTCTCTCTTATCTGCAAATAATATAGATTTTAAGGCATGTTTGCAGAGCCCCACTTCATGCAGCAGCGTGAAATGGGCTGGAGGCTGTTGGCCTGCAGTGCGAGGCTGTAGCACAGCCCACTCTGTAGGCCTCTCAGTGCACCAGGCTGCAGATCTGTTGCTGATTCTCCTGCGAGGGCAGAAGAGTGAAGTGATCTCACTTCTTACAGATGGAGGAAATGCATTTCTGCACCTTTGTGCTGAAACTGGACTTCTCGTCATGTATTCAGACACTGAGACCTCCTGGAGTACTCTGTTTCCTTGAAAGTCTGTTTTCCTAAATGCAACAAAAGCATTTCTTTACAATGCTAATGTTTTTCCAGGCAGCAGCTGGGCAAATCCTTAGAGAAGAGCATTCTCTCTGGCTGCGTTCTGTTCCCCTCTGAGCTTCCACGTTGCGCTATGTTTATTTTTTTCCCACATTTACTCACTTGCCTTCATTCCAGCAACTACCTGCAAACAATGGATCAGTTAATTTCCTCCCAGCCGCACGGTGACAGCTGTGCTCAGCAGACTCCGGGGTGGAGGCGGTCAGTCTGGCTGGGCAGCCAGACATTGTTCGTCATGGAAATTGGGTGGCTTGTGAAAATGTCACATTGCGTTGCCTGGGGTGGCCTCCAGCAAACAGACACTAATGAGGCCTCTGCGGTTCTGTGTTCATAGATACAAGGTCATGGATCTGAAGAAAATCGCGTGAACATCTCCGGTGGAGCGGTGAACCGGAATCCGGCAGCAGCACTTAAGGACACGTCGCAAGTGCTGGCCCCGTAAGAAAGCACTTTTGTACGGCAGCGGTGAACTTCAGGACCACGCAGAGTTTCGGCGGAACGCAGCGGCTAAAACCCGGGGCCACGCGCACCGAAGAACAGCGCCCAGGGGGAGGCGGCGCTCCGCGCGGCCCTCGCAGAGGAGCGGGGCGACCCCAGGCGGAGGAGCAGAGACGTCCAGCCGCAGCACCGGGCACCGCCCCGCGGCCCTCCGCTCCTCCCCCAGCGCTCGGGGCCGCGCGGGGCCATGGCGGACGGGAGCTGCTCTCGAGCCCCGCGGGCGGGCGGGCGGTGAGCGGCCGCGAGGGGATCGGGACGGCCGGGGCTCGGCTCGGCCCGGCGGTGCGGGCGGCGGACTTGAGGGACGCAGGAGGGGGAGGAGGGGTTGCGCAGACGGGTTGCGCGGCTCCCGCCGCTGCCGCTCACGCCGTTGTCTCCCGGCAGCGCCGTGCCCGGAGCGGGGCCGCCGCGGGGCCGCGTCGACACGCCGGGGCTGCTGGAATGCCGCCGCTGCCGCTACCTGCGCACGGGCCGGGGTGAGCGGGGCCGGAGGGAGGCGGGGACCTCTCCTTCTGTCCCGGTGCGGCGGGCGGCCGGCCCTGCCCTGCCTCTGTGCCGGCACGCTTCTCCTTGCAGCCTGCTGCCAGCTGGTGGGAGCGCTGCTCGCCGCGCTGATCCTCGTCTGCAGCTCCGTGTCCTACGGCTCGGCGGGCGGCTACACGGGCGTCCCCGGCCAGGGCGGCATCTACTACTACATGTACGGCGGGGCGTACAGCGGCTTCAGCGGAGCGGACGGGGAGAAAGCCCAGCAGCTGGACCGGCGTTTCACCCAGCTCAAGATGCCATTAGCCAGGGCGGCGATGGCCGTGGGAGGAGCCCTCCTGGTCTTCTCTTCCGCGTTGATTTTGGTTGGCGTCGTACGGCTACCGTGGCGTTTTCCTGCATGGCTCCTACTGGAAGGCATCCTAGACACAGTGGTTGCAGTGGGTTTGCTGGTCGCTCTGTACTATTTCTTCCATCATCTGCTGGGAGTTTATGACTCAACAGTATGCAAAGAGAGAGCACACCTTTACCAAAGCAAGGGCTATCAGGGCTTTAGCTGCAGCATGCATGGGGCAGAGATTGCTGCTGGCCTCCTGGGCTGTGCAGCTGTTGTGGCATTCCTGCTTAGTGCAGGTCTGGCCGTCAGAGGGTACAGAGTTGTTCACAAACTGAAACAGAAGCCAGAGCACACGTATGAGCCGTAGAATTATTCCTCTGCTCCAGTAGTGGTCCTGATTTTTGCCAGCCTCATGGCATGCTTTCACTTGCTTGGGGACAGTGCATTCTTATTACTGTAACAGAGCATAACTCCAAATATAGGGAAACCAAGCTGTTCAAACTTAAATTTGCACTGTTAAATTATTAGCAGACGCATACAGATTGTCTTCATCTGGTGGCTGTTCTGCCTCTCCAGCATATATCTGAGAGAGAATGCATTGCTAACTGTTGTTCTTATGAACATAGTAATTCACAGGCTTTGTCTAAATAGCAAACCTAGCTTTGAATGCTTGGGCCTTCTTGGGCCTTGGGAAGATAATTCAGCTTTGGAGAAGCCCTTGTTCCTAAATGTCAATGACTGAAAAGAGAGATCACGTACCTGAGCTCTGGGTTTCCAACATCATAGCCAGTATCCTCCTAGCAGTAGGGTAATTAATGTCAGTAGTCGCTCAGAACACATCAAGTAGCATGGCTAGGATGCGTTGCAGACGCATGCTGGTGAACAGCTTCCTACAGTTGAACCTTTTACAAAGGGCCTGTGACTGTCCACTGAGAGTAGAACTCTGAAAAGTGAGCAATGAAGCTGATGATTGCCATTTCCTGCTTTGGAAAGCTCTCTTGGTGCTAAAGGGGCAGCTTTAACATGGCATTTATATTGCCATCAGAGATTCCTGAAATAAACTTGTAGGGTGGTGAAGATAAATTTGTCTCAGCTTAATTTGTGACACAGTGCCTTCTTTTCGCTCCCTCCTGGTGAGGGCACCTTTCTGGATGGAGCACTCTTTTATGTATACTCGTATACAACCATTTTGCTTAAGAGCCTGGAGTTTGACTCATCAGACGTAAGTTTTAAGAGCTCACCAAGGTGATTTAAGACAAAGGTGTGGTGTTTGCAAAACATTTGAAGTGTACAGGGTAGGGAAAGGAGACAGATTTTGTGTTGTTTATGAACAAATAAGGGTGAATTTTCTCTTCAGAACTTTGTTGGTTTTGTTTGTTTTTATAGATTCATCAAAGAAAAGAAGCCTAGCACCAGATTCAGATATCATGCTCAGAATGAAAAGCCATTTCAGAGCAGTGCCCACAGTGTGCATTAATCCTCATGTAGGTTAATTTCCACTGGTTTAACAGGCCAACTCCATCTCTACAGGAGAAAAAACATCCAAATAGCAGCATATTAAAAACGTGCTTTGTCACAGATTTACCTCCAGTTTCACCAGTGAGTAAATCTTTGCAATTCCTGAAGTCATAGAACACTACCACAACCAAATACAAAAGTAAATTACACTCTGTAACACTTCAGGTGACTGCTGCTCCCTTTTAGCAGTGAGATGCACTCAGCATCTGAATGCATGGATTTATGTGGACAGGCCACTGTGGCCCTATTTCTTCTGCTGATTCCACACTGCTTGCTTGCTGCACTTACTTCTAAAGAGCTGTGTTATTCACAAGTTCACAGGGCAGGACTCCTCTGGTAGGGTACAGAGAGCTGCCCAATATTTGGTACTGCTAACTCTACTCTGTGTTCTGCACATACGTTTTGTATGGAAGGCTGAGTAGAAGTAGCACAGAGCTCAAGGAGAGGGACCTCACAGCACAACTATGGCTACCTCTGACTGTGCGTGACTGGGATATTGCACACACTCCCTCCAGTGCAGTAACAGACTCAGAATATATAGTTAGACAAAAGTAAAAATCTTTATTGCTACATCATCTGAAAAGTTGATGAAAAAAATATTCTTCCTTCCTGAACTATTCTATAAAACTGAGTAAAGAATCATTGAAATAGTGTTTTCCAGCAATGCTATTTGCCTCTTCAATGCAGTACACACAAAGGCCACATTGCCGAAGGTGCATTCATGGAACAATCTATTCCTGTATACTATAAAAGAGGAATTATTACAGCTGCATGCTAGAGTGGGATACATGAAGTGTTTTCCTTTTTAAAATAGAAAGCATGAAAAAAAAATATTATAAGTGGTGTGCTGCAATATTTCTTTAACATGCACTGGGTCGTGAGTCAGAACAGTAACATTTTAAAATGGAAAAAAAAAAAAAGGAGAAAAATACACCAAAGTCTTCAGACTGCAATGGGACAGCAGACAACGACTGCACAAAATGCAAGAGGTGAACCTACTGTCCAGAAAGGCCCTCTGAAGTGACATGGAAGACATCACCATCCAGGAGGAGTGCAGAAACGTCTGAAGTCCCATGGGCTTTAACTGTGTCTTAAAATCCCAGGCACTAGAAATATTTCAGGTCTCACAGCAGACCTTCCTGCAGAGAGGGCAATACCCACTTCACGGAACTGGATTTTTCCCTCCTGTCTGGTTGAGGACTCTAATAGATTTCAGCAGTCTGCAGTGTCTCCCCCATGTCTGTTCCAGGTACTGGGCACAACTTTGACGGTATGCTTTATCCTCAATACTCAAGCCCAAACCAGGCACCAATACTGCTTTTACTGGCTCTTTTTGCTAACGTCTGGTCAGACCAGGGCAGGCAGGTCAGTGCCTCCAGCGTGCCTGTGTTCAGTGAGCATGCTTAGCAATAGGGCCGGAACTGCTAAAGGAATGGACAAATTCCCCAGCCTAGCCTCACTGTGGCCACCTGGAGCACAGCAGCTCTGGCAACAGTCAGCTCAATGACCCCACACTGAGAATCTCCAACAGCAAAAAAGAATGGAACATTCTTAGCGATGTGGCTCTATGGAAATGATGCCATCTGCAAGAGCCACACAGAATTCAAGGAAGACAGCAAAAGAGAACAGGAGGACTGTGAGGTAACACACCTTCTATCCTCTGCTATGAGGCCCCCTGCTAAACTTCCCCATCCATGTGTGCTCCACCTACAGCAGCGCCCATCAGAAGTCTGAGACATATGTCCAGCGTTAACAAGGAAGACAAAAGAAGTTTGCTGTCTTCAGAGGCCAAAAAACAAAAGGAGGTGCTACCCAGAAGAAGAGCAGCAGTTCACAGTATCAGTCTAATCGTCAGCAGCGGTGGACTCTGCTATTTTACAGAACAAGCCATATTCTGCCACAAAAGTTCACAACTGTAGAAAATGAACTCCCTTTCTGCCTCAAAACCAGAAACAGAGCTGGAGAAAAGGCTCAGTAGTGGTTCTATGCATTCCATTTGGAGAAGCAGATCAGAAACTTGCACGCTCTCTTGTGGAGCTTCACTTAATCCTTCCTACTGAACTAGGCATGGGCATTCATGACAAACTCCCCATGAGACAAACCTGTTTCACACAATGCTATTGGTTCAGGCTGGCAAGGACACACTGGATTTTACACATCAGTGCAAGAAAGAGTCCTGATTTGCATTGACATCTACCATTCTCCTAGTGCCAGGGTTTACCACAATCTTACTCAGAAAGAAGCATATGTTCCTGCATCAATCCTACACTGAACAGAGCAGGTAGCAGATACTGTTGGCCTTGGAACAGATACTTGGTGACACTGTTGCCAGCAAATGAACTGAACATTACTGTCAAATACAGCGATGTGAGCCATTTCTGCATACTTAATTTGAAGAGAACCTGAAGGAGAGCTGAGTTTTATTCTCCGAAACTTTTCTTTCCTCTGTCTGAGGAATTTAAAATGCTGTTTCTGTGATCCTAAGAGTGAGCATTTCTCTGCAAGTGAAACAGACAATTAAACACGGCCAGAACTCACAAGTTTGGAAAAAAGACGGGTTGTTTCATGATTACACCACAACCAGTACAAGGTATATCCCAAAAGGTTGCTCTCAAGTATAGTAAAAATATGTCCTTTTTCCCCGAGTGAGAAATTCAAGTAGCTCTGAAGTTTAAGCACAACTCCTGTAGATTTTGTCAAAAGATCTATATTATTGGAATCCCACAGGTTGTCTGCACAGCATCCCTTCAATTCAATTCAAGGCTTGAACTTGATCCAAAAAACACACAACTCAAGCTCCTCAGAGACCTTGAGAAGAAACTTTCACATTTTCTTCATAAATATAATAAAGAAGAAAAGGCACTAGCCCACATTACAGTCCAAATTATTGCACCAATGCTGTGACAGGGGCAGCTGCTGTTCAGCCCTCTGCCAAATAGGGAAGACATCTGCATGCTTTGGGGGCCATAGAGTTTTCACAAGATTATTACATCGAGAATCCATTTACCCCTTGCACCAAAAACCTTAATGAAACCGTGTGACAGCTGCAGGCTGGGCATTTCATCATTAGTGGGACTGTTTTAAAAATCTTTTTCCCAGTGCTAATAAAGATGTTTTCCAGGCAAAAAGTTGTTTTGTTTTTTTTCCCTTTTCTTCCCCTCCTTTTCCACTGAAAACTAAGTATAAACAAAGATATACTTTCACCTCGTCGGTGGCCAAATTTGGCACACATCCCAAAATACAGGTTGCTCTGGATATGGACAATGACTGCTATTTACAGATGCAAGCAAAGACTGTCGTGGCTGACAATGCAGTTAATGTTGATGGAAGAGTACTGAAAGCTTCCTCAGCATACAAAGAGCACTCCAACTGCTTGCTAGCCTTAGAGCAATGTACCACTTACACCTCAATTTCCTCTTACACTGAAACCAGCAGCAACTCACAGTTTCACGTCATGTCTTCTGGATACAGGAAGCCTCTACTACGAGGCACACGTGATGAAGGTCAACAAGCTGCTGAGCTTGGTCTGTGATCTGCAGCTAGAAGCAGTAGCTCTACATGTTACTCAGCCACTAAGTCCAGAGCTGATCCTTCCCATGTTCCATGTAAAATGCAGCAGGAGACACCCACTTATAACCCAGCTGAGTTTTCTCATCCTGCATAGCCTGATCCCATTATAATCTCACTCTTCCCTGCACCAGTGCTCATCAGAACACCTGTACCCTGAATGCTCAAAAGCCCTAACAATACCTATTGGGAAAATCAGCTTCCCCACTCCCTCCCACCTGCTCTGTGAACAGGATACTGGAGTGCTCTCTCCCCTGGCCCTAATAATAAAGTGCTGTGCTGAAGAGGAAGAGAACAGCTTAAGTGCAATCAATAAAAGTGCTTGCAATTCACGTAGGAAACCATTCTTGGGTCAGCTTCATTCCAACTGGCTGTATTCTTTCAAGGAACAATGAAGTCAGGAATTGCCAGGAGGGCCTGTGTCAGAAATATTCAGACTCCAAACACTGCATATTGGTCCCTCAACAGCCTTCCCTTTCCCCCTCCCGCAATCCACCAGCCCTTTCCTGAGAGCTGGCAGAACCTCAGGCTTTAAGGAGTAAGAGGGAGGCACCGGAACACCTGCCTTCTTTCTAGTGCTTGCATAATTTCCAGACAGTTCTGAACAGAACACAGCTGATCTGGGCACTCATAGAAGAGACTACAGCAAAAAGTAGGTGGCCCAGATCATAGCACTCCCAATTTTTTCTCCACTCAATTAAGGAAGCAGCAGATGCCTGTACGCCTTGCAGAGCCCAGGTCCCCTTAGGGGCATGACAGCCCTTACAGGATAGATCTTCCTGGGACAGACAAAGTGGGAGTAGTACTTGTAGGATTACAAAGCTGTGTCAAACTCCTCTGTCAGAGCCACTGCAGGCTCTTCTTTCTGCTCTTCATCTGCTCTGTTCTCCTGGTGCTGCTTCATTTGTACCTTCACTTCCTCCTCCAGATCAGGTGGCACCACAAATTGATCCTCTGGCTCCATCTGAGATGGAGCAGCAAAATAACCTGTCTTCTTC